CCGTGTGTAAAAACAAATCCCATTCAAAATACTTACAGGTCCATCACATATAAACTATCAATCAAAGTGAACACTGCAAACAACCTGGGAAGATCCGGGTTAGAATTGATCTTCAGTAACCAATGTTTGTCGAAAGAGGTGACTAACGGGATCGGGTGGTCAGGCTCGATGACTCGGTCGCCACATGTCATCGTATCCCAATTGCGCAGATCGATGTTCATGCTGTTGATCCCTGGATTGCCTGGTCCAGACTCGATTATTTACAGACTGCCGCCAAAGCTGGAATATTGCTGAGTGCGGTGTAAAACTTAACTCACTCACTCATGATGAATGAACTTTATGTAACTTTTGATAAATAGAACATGTACATGTGTTGATAGTTTTGAGCGTCTATGTGCAGATGCTACAAAGAGTGACGTTCTAATTTACCAAATTGAAGTATCCATATTACCATGATATGTCGCTTCCTTAAGACCAGGATCCGTGAATATCCCTGTTAGAAAGGATCTTCAGCAACCCATGGTTGTTATAAAAGGCGACTAACGGGAACGGATGGTCGAGCCCGCAGACTTTGTTGACACAGGTCATCGTATCCCAATTGCGTAGATCGATGCTCATGATGTTGATCACTGGATTGTCTGGTCTAGAATCGCTTATTTACAGACCGCCGTCATAGAGCCCAATAGTGCTGAATGCGGCGTAAAACTAAACTCACTCATTCACTTTAACACCAATCTAGAAAGTTCTCTAACGCATAACATAGCATGCTGCCATCTTCAGTTATTTAATGGAATTAGTAACGGATTGTATTTTATAAACGTGACCATCTTGGAAGACAAATACCCATCGGCTGCCCGCATGAATGTGTGTGTCATCACCTACGACGAGTAGTGTGCTTGCACTATCAACCACTGGATTACTGACGATACTAAACGGAGTTCCCTATTCAGTAATGCATGCCGACCTTTTCAAAAAGTAAAACATTACTCAGGAAATTGTTCAGATGACATGTTCACAAAATTCGACTGTTGAGCAAATTGAGTGAGTGTCAGGTGTTTGAAGCGAGATAGGCTGTAGTTAGCCTAGTGGTTAAAGCGTTCGCACGTCACGCTGAAGATCCTGGTTCGATTCCCCACATGGGTACAATGTGTGAAGCCCATTTCTGGTGTCTCCCACCGTGATATTGCTGGAATATTGCTAAAAGCGGCGTAAAACTAACTCACTCACGAACAATACGCTGTCAATCTCCAGCAGTATTGGTGAGTGGGGCTCACAAACACTCTCTGATACAGCTTATGTATACCAGCAAGCCTAACCTCTCGATCGTTTTAATTGCCTTTTTTACGACAAGCATAGGTTGCAAACCCGGATGCTTATATTAACCCGGATCTTGATGGGTCTTCTCTGTTATGAATGTAAAATCTCCAGAAGAACCCCCATTCTCCAGAACAACAAGTCATTGGTCTCCCGCGGACATAATTTCACTCAGGTTTCACAATCTCAAGGATTACGCCGGAGTATCACCCTCAACCCAAATTGACCTGGATTGTATTATTAGATAACCCTGTCAATCTCGCTTCGCGAGTCAGGACCGTTGCCAATCGAATAGATCAAAATACCATTTACGCATTTATTTACTTATCAGAGTCTTTAAATCACCAAAAGCATGCCTCCACCGTCAGACCCCTATAGGACCCTTCTCCGGGTCTCCCCTGAAATATCACCGCCTCCGTGGTGTAGTGGTTAGAGCGTCCGCCCGGAGAGCGGAAGGTCGCGGGTTCGATCCCCGACCGAGTCATACCAAAAGACGTTAAAATGTGGTAATATGACCCCGCCTGGCGCTCGGCATTAATGGTCCAAAGGACTGGCGCTCGAGTCAGTATAATGTGTGGGTATTCAATATTCACTGCGGCATGGTATCTTAGTGGGCAAGTATAAAACCAGCTTCAGTCTGAGTACAAGCAGCCGCACATATTCATGCATTCACGTGTCATATGGCGTGGACGATAAACCCATTTCATTCACCTCACCTCCTGAAATACCACCTCACTAGTGATACAGCCGGGGCGGTGGGGCCCTGAAATACCACCTCAGTAGAATGTGAGATCGTGCATTTCACGGCTCATCCGGCTCATCCGGGGCTTACATTCTACTCTATAACGTCTCTCAGCGTCGGTGTGTCTAATTTATCATCACTTGAAAGACAGAATGAGAGATAAGGGGTTTTAAAAATGATCTGTACTTGAAATCAATGTTTCAGGTCTGCCACTTCACGTATATGTATAAGGGGCACTGGTTTTTTGGTCGACAAATGCGCCTCATGTCATTGGTTCGAATCCAACATTTTTCATGAAAATTTCGTTTTGGTTTGTCTGCACCATATCGGTGCGCGTTGGCTTCGTCGATATCGTTGACTTCTTAGATGTGTATTGCATCGGGTTTCCCTTCGTCATTCACTGGCGGTGTGGGTAGCCTAGTGGTTGAAGCGTTGGCTCGTCACGCCGAAGGCCCAGGTTCGATTCCCCACATAGGTACAATGTGTGAAACCCATTTCTGGTGTCCCCCGCCGTAATATTGCTGGAATATTGCTAAAAGCGGCGCAAAATCATACTCAGTCACTCCGTCATTCAGCTGGCACGCCGTGAGACAACCCAAATTCTGTCCAAAGCGACATAAACCACTCACTCACTCACTCACTCACTCACTACATTCATGGTAGGGCATTCATGTAGTTAAAATAATTCATGCATTTTGACATACACTGCTGTGCACAAGACAATATGTACCTCTTTTAAAGGCAGTGTATGAAATAAGGCCCGTCCAATCGCCCGAGGCGGGCTAGATTTCTGCCGGACGGTCTAATTTTACAGCTGGCCAGCCCGATGGACGGGTGAAAAAACCCATTCCGATAACATGCCCACTGGCACTGACTAGTTAAATCTCTTCTGGGCTGGTAAGTTTTTGAAGTTACCAGCCCAGATGTCTGGCTGAGTTTTTGGCTTATTTCATACACTGTTAAAGGTGGCTTAAAATGAAACTAAATATAATTATGATTATTCGATTTGGATATAAATTTACTTCGGGTATCAATGTTTGCAGTTTTACGTCGACCGATTTCAACCTTTATTGATAATGTATATTGCTTTTATTATCAAATATTTTTAAAGTGAATAGTATATTTTACCCGGCTGTTTACATTATTTTTATGTTGTCACTGAACTGTTTACAGTGTTAGGGCATAATTTGAAAGTGACTAGAACTGCGTAAGCAAAATATTTTTTATCTTAACCGGCCATTGTTTTCGACTTCGTTCTTGCCCTTTGTCGAAGATAAACAAACAATCTGTATGTTGAATACTCTGAGCGTTGGACTCATGTTTACAGGATGTCAAACAAATGTCTAGATACATGAATACCAGACACAATACCGCTGTTATCAATCCAATATCTCCTGATTAATGTGTCAGTCAAATGCACTTAACAGTCGGTGTAAGCACGGGCCTTGAGCGTGACGATCACGTGGTGTTGTTAATTTCTCGTCGAGTGATTCCAGGGTTATATTTGGAATGTACCACGTTACTAACCTTGTGGATATCATTCACCCCAAGACTTGCGTGCAGGGGTACCTTCGGGTAGTGAGGTGAGGTGAAATTAGGTTTAACGTCGTGCTTGAGAATATTTCGCTCATATGACGACGTGCATGCGTGTGTATGTGTATGTGCGGCTGCTTGTACTAGCCCAGACTTAAGCTGGTTTTATAGTGCTAGCCCACTGAGATACAATGCCGCAGTGAAGCATGAATACCCCACTCAGACACATTATACAGACTCCGAGCCGACCAGTCCTTGTTGTACCCATTAATGCCGAGCGCCAGGCAGGGACCAACAAGTACCATATTTTAACGTCTTTTGGTATGATGCGGTCGGGGATCGAACCCGCGACCTTCCGCTCTCCGGGCGGACGCTCTAACCACTACACCACGGAGGCGGTCATCTTCGGGTAGTAGATGGGGGTTCCATGTGTAAAAACAAATCCCATTAAAAATATTTACAGGTCCATCAAATATAAACTATTAATCAAAGTGAACACTGCAAACAACCTGGGAAGATCCGGGTTAGAATTGATCTTCAGTAACCAATGTTTGTCGAAAGAGGCGACTAACGGGATCGGGTGGTCAGGCTCGATGACTCGGTCGACACATGTCAACGTATCCCAATTGCGTTGATCGATGCTCATGCTGATGATCACTGGACTGTCTGGTCCAGACCGCCGCCATATAGCTGGAATATTGCTGAGTGCTGCGTTAACCATCGACAACCAACCACACCGCAACCTGCTTTGCCTAGTTCAACGTGGGAAAAAGATTAACACCACCTTTTTAAATACACCATTGAATCAAATGCTGTGAATGCTTTTGCCAGCAAGTGTCCTTATGGATTATTTTTATTCAAGTAAAGGATATACATGTGACTGCGTTTAATATTTAGAACAGTTAATACAAAATATCTGCTACTTTGGGACAGTGTGAGCATAGGCATGAGTGTTGTACTAAGTTTTAATAACATCCAGAAACGAAGGTAAATGGTCTTGGCAACCGCGTACAATGTTTATTCATCCTCTATGTGAAAACATACAAGAAAACAACTAAAGTGACTTTTGTACCCAAAATATGATTACATATACCGTCAGAGTAACACTGATATATATTCCATTGTCTAATCGGGGCGGTGGGGTAGCCTAATGGTTAAAGCGTTGGCTCGTCATGCCGAATACACGGGTTCGAATCCCCACATGGGTACAATGTGTGAAGCCCATTTCTGGTGTCTCCCGCCGTGATTTTGCTGGAATGTTGTTAAAAGCGGCGTAAAACCAAACTCAGTCAGTCAGTCCACTGTCTAATCATTCGGTCGACTCTCGCGATACGCACGTTGAGCTGTGTACATGCTCTGAGCCGAAAGTCTCATGGCGTTTTCTGTAATGAAATGATGACACTATCAAATATATGCTCGATTATTTATTGGTAAGTTAGTGTACACAAGTGTTGTGGTCAGGGTATTCCTTGCGCTTCGATCACCTACTTCCCGATAATCTGGAACAAACACATGATTAGTGAGTATTGTAGTCAACTGCAGCTTACGATGTAATGATATATTTCTTTGTTTGTTGTTTAACGTCACACTCAGCAATATTCCAGCTATATGACGGTGGGCTGTCAATAATCGAGTCTGAGCCAGATGATCATGTGATCAACACCATGAGCATCTATACAGTTGAGATACGATGACATGTGCCAACCAAGTCAGCGAGCCTGACCTCCCGATACCGTTAGTCACCTTTTACAACAAGCATGGGTTAGTGAAGATCAATTCTAACCCGGATCTTCACCGGTAACAGTGAGTGAGTTTAGTTTTACGCCGCACTCAGCAATATTCCAGCTGTATGGCGGTGGCCTGTCAAAAATCGAATCTGGACCAGACAATCCAGTGATCAACATCATCAGCATCGATCTACGCAATTGGAATACGATGACATGTGTCAACCAAGACAGCGAGCCTGGCCACCCGATCCCGTTAGTCGCCTCTTACTACAAGCATGGGTTACAAAATCAATTCTAACCCGGATCTTCACCGGTAACAGGCGATGGAAGGTGATATGGTGTTTAATATCACATTAACTACTCTGGAGCATATACATTTACTGGAAAACAAGGATAAGTTGAGCACCAACCTGACAATTGACCCGTATTAGCATGTAGGAGTGCCGCCCACTGGCACTTGCCATTGTTAGCGAAGGGGCCCCAGGTTGTCCGCGATCAAGTGTAGTGCTACTTGCTACACCGACGTGAGAGTCTTATGAGCAAGGCGTGTGCAGCTACGCGCGGAATCAAGTTCATCGTCATGCAATGCACGTCCACGAGCCTACATCTGCTCTACCTTTCACAAACCAAATGGGTTTACTCATTGCCGTGCACCGCCTACTTCTCGTAAACGCGTTCTCTGCGACGGCCCAACTTATCCTTGTTTGCCAGTAATATCTAACCTATAATTCCGTTCATGCGAATATCGTCCAGTAGGCGAGGTTTCTGGATACCTGGCATCCGGATAAACTGGTTTCCACTATAGTGAGGTGCATGGGCATGCGTGTGATGCTGTACTGTCTTGTAGTAGTACATAGTGCTTGCCCATCGACATATAGTGCCCCATTTGAATATAATACTCAACACATAGTATACCGACTCTGAACCGACTGGTCCTTGTCTCACCTCAGATGCGGTAGGGTAGCCTAGTGGTTAAAACGTTCGCTCGTCACACCGATTACCCGGGTTCGATTCCCCACATGGGTACGATGTGTGAAGCCTATTTCTGGTGTCCCCTGTCGTGATATTGCTGGAATATTGCTAAAAGCGGCGTAAAACAAAACTCGCTCACTCAATGCCGAGTGCCAAGCAGGGTACAATCTTTTCATGTAATTTGGTTTGGCGCAGCCAGTGGTACAAACAACCCTCTGCTTTAGATATTAGTGAGTGAGTGAGTTTAGTTGTACGCCGCACTAAGCAACATTCCAGCTATATGGCGGCGGTCTGGAAATAATCGAGTCTGGACCAGACAATCCAGTGATCAACAGCATGATCTAGATATTAGTTGGTCTTGTGTTGTCTTCTGTAGTACTCACCAGATTCCCACAACCGGCGCAGGTCGGGCAAATATCGCAGGGCGTGGCCTCGTTGAGGACAGAAGACATGTAGAACACAGTCCGGTGATTCACTGCGATAAGATCAGATAACACGTCTTAAGACAGTACGTTTGATTTGAACAAAGATGCATTTAGGCAGAGTTTAAAATCGGCTCGTACTGATACTGTCTAACATCCATGTCAAAAATGACATCGGGAACATCTTCAGAATCCATGGACTCTGTCAGGTTGTCCAGTAAAACCATCAGCAATAGGTCAGCTATGACGTCATGTCACGTGATACCTGCTTCTGCTCATTAACTGTCGGATGTTTCCGTAATAGGCGGAAATACGAGTGCAAATTTTACGTGTTTATTGCTTTTTGTTCAATTTTAATCATGGAAGGTAACTTTTAGAATGCTTTTACCCCTATGAAAGAAATTGGCGTTAGTAAACTCATTTAAGCCACTTCAGGATCATCGGGCCTAGTGGTCGAATGATCGTCTATTCGCTCCGAATATTTTGTATCGTAATCTGATTGCACAGATGAACGTACGGGCAGCATGAACGTACTCAAACAAGAGTGTGACGGGGCCAGGGTAAACCAGCAAATCCAGAATGTGTCAGTCAGGTCAAACACGTTTTCGCCAGCTGATCCAACTGTTGTAAATAAATCTAAATAGATCTACCATCAAATGATAGCCATGATCAGATGTCTTTCAACTAAATATTATGTCCTGAATATGCGATGCCTATTATAAAGGCTGGGAACTGGTGTTCATATATTCGCTCTTTTATATAATTACACAATGTCTGTCAAAGTATTAATCATAAAGGAATATGTTAACCTGTTATGATAGACGTGTATTACTGAGGGATACTTGGCCCAGTCGTCTTCGGAGTACAATGTTGCATTCCTTAAGCGAGCAAGAAGTTTATGATCAGAGGTTCGAATCCTCGGAATGATCGGAGTGATCAAGTTCTCCAAAATCCCTTTTCCTGGATGGGATCAAAGTTTTCTTGTTTTCTTTTGTTGCTTAACGCCACACTTAGCAATATTCCGGCTATATGGCGGCGGTCTGTAAATATTTGAATCTGGACCAGACAATCAACAGCATTGCGATACGATGAGACGTGCCAACCATGTCAGCAAACCTGACAACCCGTTCCCGTTAGTCGCTTCTTACGACTATCACGGGTTACTGAAGATCAATTCTAACCCGGATCTTCGCGGGTCGTGTTGAAGGTGAGGTGAGGTGAAATTGGGTTTAACGTCGTGCTTGAGAATATTTCGCTCATATGACGACGTGCATGCTGGTTTTATAGTGCTACCCTACTGAGATACCATGCCGCAGTGAAGCATGAATACCCCACTCAGACACATTATACTGACTCCGAGCCGACCAGTCCTTGATGTACCCATTTATGCCGAGCGCCAGGCAGGGACCAACAAGTACCATATTTTAACGTCTTTTGGTATGACGCGGTCGGGGATCGAACCCGCGACCTTCCGCTCTCCGGGCGGACGCTCTAACCACTACACCACGGAGGCGGTCGGGTCGTGACGAAAGTTGTAAACGTCTAAAAGCTGCCTCACGTTGGGCTTCCCTCCCGCATCAACTGTTCAATGCAGCTACAATCATAACTTACACCATTATTATTATTATTATTATTATTATTACCATAACTATTGTTAGCGTACATACCCGGGTTGTAGTAGTCAAAGAGCAGGACTACTGACTTCTGCGTATTGACGGTCATCCCGACTCTGTTGGCTATGACATCAACGCATGTTTGACTGCCCCCGATCTGGATCACATGGCAAAATACCAACCAAATACGTGTGAGAGGCGTTCAGGATGTAGATTTAACATTGTTTTGAACATTTACACAATTAAGTCATATACTCATGCCAATAATGGTTGTCAACCCCTTTAATTTTTTTAATTGGAGAGGGGGTTTGGGGTTGGGGGTTGTGTGTGTGTGTGTGTGTGTGTGTGTGTGGGGGGGGGTGACAACCATTATTGGCATGAGTATATTTCGTCTACATGTTCACCGTAACATGAAAGCTCAGGTCGTAATGTTTTAACGCTTAATATGGCAATACAACTACAACCTGTGTTTCCTCCATCAGAGGGGCTTTGGTTACTGCTAGTGTCTCACCCTGTAACGTTACAGCTATATAGCGGTTGTCTGTAAATACGGGACTCTGGACCAGACAATCCAGTGATTGGCATTTGTCATTGACGATCCCTACCGACAGATATGATGATACGCTATCAACCCAGTCAGCAAGCCTGACTACCTGATCCATCAGTCACTTGGGGCGGTGGGGTAGCCTAGTGGTTAAAGCGTTTGCTCGTCACGCTGGAGGCCCGGGTTCGATTCCCGAAATGGGTACAATGTGTGAAGCCCATTTCTGGTGTCCCCCGCCGAGATATTACTGGAATATTGCTAAAAGCATTCTCTTCCCACAGAGGTTACTCCTGTCATATCTTCCTACGTAATCAGATTTAGTTGTGCAATCAGCGACGTTGTTTCAAAAGTGATCATTCGCAAGGCCTCGGTATTTTTCCGTATGCTTCGAGAAAACTAAACCTCTTCCCCTGCGCGATGCGCAAACGTTTCTTCTAGACAGAACTCAGTCATGTTATGGCGGATCAGTGGCGTCTCCATCGCCCTCGTTGACAACGGACAAGCTAGCCATTAAACGTCTTGTGTGTAACATCAACACAAGTCCCCGGCAGATGGGGGATATTTGTGGCCCCACATTTACTTGTGTTAGTCAAGTTGAATCTAAGTCGATGTGACACGTGTTCTGATTGGATAGAAAGAAGGGAGATAATTCGTGTTGTGATCTTTTGCCGCTAGGGGATTTTACGAGAACCGGGAAATATGGCCGTATTAGAACAGAGGTTCGTAGGAAGATATGACAAGTAACCTCTGTGGGAAGAGAATGTGCTAAAAGCGGCGTAAAACCCAACTCACTCACTCATCAAGTCACTCCTATTCTAACCAGCATCTGAATCCCTACTGTCGTCTATCTCTGTCATCCGAGAGATTTTTAGTTTAAAAAAGTGTTCAAAGAGGCGTTAAGACCAAAACATTATTCTGGTAGCATTACAGGGTTACAAAATGCTGAACAAAAAGCTGTGGATCATGAACATTTGGGGGATATTATTTTTATTATCAAATCATGTTCTCCTTCTTCATCACAAAAACATTCCCAAACAATCATCCCAAACTATTTTGTTCGGTTCAATAACAAAGACTACCGGAACAAAAACACACGTAGCTTAATATTAAACAGCATATTTTACACCATCTAAGTGTATGCAGTCATTTTCAAGTTTTATATAGAAAAGGCACAATGTCTAAATGTCCCGGTGGAGGCTTACACAAACATATGCAGGTATTGTCCCGAAAGGTCACCAAAATCAGACACCTACATATACCCATTACCACGACACTACTGTCAATGATAACCTTCAATGTAGGTGAGTGAGTGAGTGAGTATGGTTTTATGCCGCTTTTAGCAATATTCCAGTAACATCGATATCATGGCGGGGGACACCAGAAATGGGCTTCACACAATGTACCCATGTTGGAAATCGAACCCGGATCTTCGGCGTTTACGATCGAACGCTTTAACCACTTGGCTACCCCACTGTCCCTTCAACGCAGGAGGGTGGTGTATGTTAAAAACTAAAAGTCTCACCTGTTCAAAGTAGAGGTCAACATTTCCTGATTTATATTCCTTCTTTTTGAGATTGTAGGTGTCTTTGATGAGTCCGACATCGGGTTCGAACCCCGTAGGAATACCCGCCCGGATAACGGCCATACCACTGGACCCTGCCAGGTTCCATCTGTGTACAAAGGAGAGATGTATAAGGTCTTGTTTTCATGAACATATATTTCAGTTTTAAAGTTTTATGTTATTACATTCAGCATTTCTACATTTTATGTAACCGTAATAGATACACAGACCTCTCTGGATAAAATAATTTTTATCATTAGCCGAGGCAAGATTTGTCCAGTAATCGTCTATACACAAATATTTTATGTTTTGTTTACTTATGTTTATTTGTTTGTTGTTTAACGCCGCACTCAGCAATATTCCAGCTGTAAGGCGCCCTTTTGTAAATAATCGAGCCTGAACCAGACAATCCAGTGATCAATATCATGAGCATCGATCTACGCGATGTGTATACCAAGTCAGCGAGCCTGACCACCCGATCCCGTTAGTCGCCAACTTATGTCTAGCAATTCTCAAGCAAGATGACAACGGTTAATGGAGTCCAGTGGTTGACTTCATGAACTTGTTTCTATGAATTTGGGATACTTTGACATGCTTGTTTTTTTGTTTTGTTTGTAGTATATCGCCGCACTCAGCAATATTACAGCTATACGGCGGGGGGTTTGTAAATAATCGAATGTGGACCATGCAACGAGTGATCAAAGGCATGAGCATCGATGTTTGTTATTGGGATACGATGACATATGTCAACCAAGTCAGAGAGCCTGGCCACTTGATCCTGTTAGTCGCGTCTTACAAGTATGGGTTACTGAAGACCAATTCTAACCCGTTTCTCCAAGTATACTGAAAGCCATTAAAAACGCAATTCGACATTTATACTTTCTTTACTTACGTTAACAAATGTCAACATATATAAATGTAACTGGCAGATATGTTTTAAGTGAACATATGTGGATAATTTCACCTGAAAAAGTCCAATCAACAACAACATCAGTGACCCAACAACGACAACAAACAAAGGAGGGGTCACTTGCAGTCAACATCGAGACATGCTCGCAGTGTCGGGGGCATTAAAAGACACAAATGCCTCAGGACCAGCTGTGGGATGGTCTGCCAGTGATGTTAAAGGGTCTGTGTCAGTGTCAGTTCAGCAACTGTCCTTAGTGGCACAAGTTTATTTAGAACTCGCCGTCCAAGTTCACCCCACAGATGCTCGATTGGGTTCATGTCTGGGGACAATGACGGCCAGTCAATCACAAGAACATTCTCATTATTCAAAAAAGTCCCCTGTTACCCTGGCTGCATGGGGACGTGCATTATCATGCTGAAACACAAAATGGTTACGACCGCCATGTTGATCCATCATTGTGAGTACAGCCGGACGAAGGATATTGTCCACATAACGTTGAGAATTCCGATTGCCGTTAACCACTGCCATCTGGGATCGGAAGTTGGCATTGATAACACACCAGTCCATGACACCACCCCCTCCAAAACCATCATGTTCAAGGACACAGTTTGGCGCCAGTCGTTCTCCTCGACGTCGATAAATCCGTTGACGTCCATTTGGAATGGATTCGTTAAACCTGGATTCATCTGAAAAATGACATCTTGCCATGGCCTGTTGCCAAGATTGGCCCAATTAGCTGTCTATCGCTGTCTGGCAAGTCTGTGGCGATGCAATAAGTTGGACCAGGGTACGGGCGACGACACCGGATGTTGAAGGCAGCAAGGCGTCTTCGCACCTTTTGGGACGTTGTCTTGTCCCAATTGTCCTTCTTGCCGTATCAGCAGCTGTTTGGAACCGATTTCGCAAGTGTGAAACTCGGATATTGCGGTCCTGTCGAGCTAGCGTCACAGGTGGTGCCCAAGGTAGCGGACGATGAGCAACACTTCCGGTGGCCCGAAAACGTTGTCTGAGTCGACCAACAGTGGATGGATGCACATTAAAGTGCCTGGCAATCATCACATCTGAGCACCTTGACTGACCATACCGATAGCCTGATTCCTTTCTTGTGTCAAGCGTGGCATATTCTCAGAGTGATTGAGTTTCACAATTCCTTGTGCTTTTCAAGGGCCTGGGTGCAGGTAATGCGCGACTACAACGTGTTTCATGAATGTGGTTGTGTTTACGAGAAATGTCAAAGGTTCAGTTTTAAGCATCGAAGTTCATGTGAGAGGAATGCTCTGGGACTCGAACTCGAAATGGGTCAGAATAACATCCTTTTTGTCCCTACATCCTCTGTATCGCAGGAAAAAAATCTTCAATAGAACTTTTGTAAGTTCCAGGACAACACATAATGGCTTTCAGTATACTTTGACATGCACCAACTAAGCCGGCGAATCTGAATGTCCCTTACACCCATATTGGTCGCTGATGGCCAATGCCGCTCTTCACGGAGTGTGTGTGTGTGTGTGTGTGTGTGTGTGTATGTGTGTGCGTGCGTGCGTGCGTGCGTGCGTGCGAACGTGTTTTGTTCGTTTGGGTCTTTTTTAAGTAGTGATCGTGCATCGTAGCACCAAAGGTGGTACACATGTGCGTTAATATAGATATCGACGTCCTACATGCATGCAGTTATACATAAATACACTTGTGTGATCCCATTACTGGCAAAGTGAGAACGAGTACATGAAAACATACCAGGTACGAGTGATAAATATCAATCATTCATAAAAATATCGCCAGCAAGTAATACACACATTTCGAGCAGCATGAATGGAAAAAATCTAACATTTTATGGAAACGTGCAGAAAGACAATTTCACCTGGCGCAGATGTGCACTGTTACTGACTGCACACTTTGTTTGATTACAGTGACGATAAGATCAAACGCCGAGTTGCCTTCCGGTGCATTAACATTGTAGAAAACTGCCACCTGTAATGATAGTGTATACAAGAATACACATTAAGGATTTCTACGTTGTATATACATAGGTACTGAGATGCTTACGAATGGTAACAACATATACTTACAACATAACTGCACTAGAATCTTTAAGAGTGGTGAAACAGTTACCTCGACAACACCGAGTCCTGAACCAGTTGCTGTTACGTTGACTGAACCACTGTCAACCGGCAGCTGTATCATGCAAAACATACAAGGTATAATTGCTATGTAATTCAAAGTTAAACATAAACATAACTTATTAAACATAACCAAATAGTTAGTACCGTTTCCGATAAACTCTTAACACATTCTCTTACACTTTGTAATAGTGTATGCTCTTTTGTATCTGTTGTAGATGCACAGAAAGCCGAGAGGACTAAGGTGTCGCAATTCACTGTGAAGGGTTGCTTCCCCTTGCCGTACGAGGATCCTCAATCTTTCAGCAGCCCTCTGCCAAGGCTTATTAAACTGAAATATTGTACTTCAATAGGAGAATATAAAACAAAACTCCCTACGTTCTTCCAGGATTGGTCATGGGTTGTTATTCTTGATGCAAGTTTTGAAGCATATTTAGTCAGCATGCTACCAATCTTAGGCATAACAATGATAAATACGAACAACACTGGGCTTTCCTCTCATATAAAGATGAGACGCCGTGACATACGTGAAATAAGATGAAACGCCGTCACATAAGAGGAAAAACGGAGTCCCGTCTCCCTCCCTCCCTCCCTCACCTCAAGTTCGTGAAGGACATCTTTGTTGGTGTCATCAATCTGAAAGCTCTTGCTGAAGCCAGTAGTGGTTATGGTTGTTGCGATGTTGAGCGGGTGTGGCGAGGACTGGGCCTGGTGTAAGGCAGTGTGGAACTCAGACAGGGCTTTCAGCGCCACCACAGTGTCCTGCAAGTCGAACATGTAAAATCATTACACGCACACAATAAATGAATGTCCAGTACATATCTGAATCTGCGACGTGTAATTATTGGAAGAAAGAACAGCATTGTTTCCTATATATGTATAATCGTTACAGTGTTATCTCCTGTTTTCACCACTCGTGCCCGATTACAGCTGTACGTGAAGATCATTGTTCGAACCATCCGTTATAGGGATGGTGATGGAGTTTGTTTCAATTACAGAAACGTAACTGATTATTTATTCCTGTTTCGTTTCTTTCTGCTACAGATCACGCCATTTGTAGAGGCCTGTACCACTAATCACGGTCTATTCATTATGAACTATGGTTTCATGACTCGTTATCCTGAAGACCGGAGTTCGATAAACCCGAGTGATATTGCTGGAATATTGCTAAAAACGGCATTACTCGCTACAGACACCAGTGCATATAATTATCAAAGCATCACCTCCATTTCACGGAACTCCTTATCCCCTCCTCAACATTATCAGCCTACATGATATTATATACTGAGTCAAAAAAGAAACTTCACATTCTTTCTTCAGGGCACTATAAAAGAACAAGAGATGGTAAGATGGTTAAATTGTTATTATGTCATTGCTGAGATCTGTGTGATGTACTCGATAGACTGACAGTGTCATAATCAGATCCATTAGGCTACACAGCCGTTCCAAAACATGGGTATACAGAATGTCAAGTCACAAGAATATAAATGCGAAATTTCTCAGTTCAATATCGTGTATGGCCGCCCCGCGCATTCACCACTGCCAAACACCGTCTCCTCATCGACTGCCTGATGCTTGTGAACACGTGGTTGGGGATTCTGCGCCATTGCTCTTGCAAGGCAGCGCCAAGTTCCTGCAAATTATGAGGTTGGTTCCTAAGACCACGAAGCCTTCTCCCAAGTGCATCCCAAACGTGCTCTATTGGATTAAGGTCAGGGGACCTCGATGGCCAGTCCATGACGTTGATTCCAGCGTTTTGAAGGAAATTTCGTGTCAACATCGCGGTATGCGGCCGAGCATTATCATGCTGGAACTGTAGACCTGGGCCATGAGCCGCCATGAAAGGAACGAGTTCAGGGGTGAGCACCTGGTCGCGGTAAGCAGCAGCTGTGAGGTTTCCACGGATGACCAGAAGTCGGGAACGGTTGTTCCCACAGACAGCACCCCACACCATGCAACTTCCGCCCCCGAATCTGTCGACTTCCTGTACACAACATTGGGCATACCGTTCACGACGTCGTCTCCAGACTCTATGCCTGCCGTCCGCGAATCTGAGGGTAAACCTGGATTCATCGCTAAAGACGACTCGATTCCAGTCTCTCTGGGTCCATCGGAGGTGACGTTGGGCCCACAGCAGACGTTGACGTTGATGAAACGGCGTCGATATTGGCCCACGATATGGACGTCGAGAATGGAGATTGGCAGCCCGCAACCGATTTCGAATGGTCTGTGAGGACAGTCGACCTCTAAACATCACAGCCCTGGTTCGTGTAGCCGGCAGAAATCTGTCACGTTGGTGACGTAGGACGATTTGACGATCTTCTGCTCGTGACGTCAGACGTGGACGACCCGACCTTGGGCGATCAGAAGTGGTGCCAGTTTGTTGTAGACGACCTCGCAAGTCATACACAGTACGACGGCTGCATCCCATTGCTCTTGCGACGTCAATAACTGATCTTCCCGCTTGCAACATGCCAACGGCACGTTCACGTAGCACATTTGACAATCGTTGCATTTTAAGTAACGTTAGAACTGTGGTTTAAAAGTGTTTTTTCAATTCTTGAGGCCAATGCAAACACGTGCATATGAAGAAAACTTCGATGCGAAGATCACGTGCTCGACTGCACTCGCAAAACCTGATTTGGCACTAACGTCATTTGCACGACGAATGGATGGGTTTGAGTGGGTTTTGCTAACGTTTTTCTAGAGTCGAAAGATAGGGATCCCATTTCTGATACATAGATGTATCATTAGGGAAAAATTATTCATTATGTTTCAAATTACATTTTGTGAAGTTTCTTTTTGGACTCAGTATACTATATCCTTATTCTCTTCTCAGCTCAAAGAAAATAGACCAGAGTGTTTCGTGTGACCCAAGGATTCCCTAAAAGGACTGAGACGTAAACATTCAGTAAATTATGGTTATAACGAACTAAAAGGGATCATTAATTCAAGATCGTTACAACCGTTGTTCCTTGTATGTATTTCAACTTAAATATGCAGCAAACATTCATGTGGTCGAGACAAAAAAAAACAATTTCGTTACACCCGTCAGTAAACGTGTTCGTGATAAACGTAGTTTAATATCTGGTGACCTGACTCTGACCTGTGTTGATGTGAAACCTCCATTGGGGTTCCTCTGCTGGACAATCCACTTCATGACCTTGAGCCCCTCCCCGAGTTCCCCCCTGGCTGTGTGGGTGAGAAGAGCGAAGGCGGAAGTCTCAATGTCGATTGGTCGACTAAATCGCTGTTCGTCCTTCCACGGTTCTCGTTTTGGGACAGTGGTAGTCTTACTTGCCGTCCAGTATTTTACTTGACCTTTTCGATAGGGATAAACATTTGGTAAGGCACTGGATTACAATGCATATCCGGGTTCATAAATATTCGCAGAGAAAATATGCCTTACATGTGTGTGGCTTATGAAATATTAGTATCAGATGGAGAAACCACAATGAAGAGGCAGATGATCTATTATGCAGAAGTGATGGTTTTGAAAGTTACCTATTTTACTGAGCAGGTGCATATAAACCTTGGTTCATATTGCACTTAAATAACGTGTTCCTTAATATAAATGAATTTTACGGGTGCCAAAGTCACATAAATGTATATTTTACAACAGCGAACAACATCAATGACTAATTGTATGTTTGTTTCTAGTTTACCACTGCAAACGTCCATATGAAGGTATCCTGTAAATAACCAAATCTGAACCAGACAATCCAGTGACTAATACATAGGTCCAATTCTAACCCGGAATCCAAAGTGAGGTGTCCGGCAGATACTTCATCAGTTTCAAACAACTTCCAGTTTGTTTATTGAAGTTTACATGGGGACTTTCACATATGGTAGCTATTTCTGCTGTTTGGCCGACGGTAGACAGAAAGAAGTCATTGTCACTTAATTTTGCCTACAAGCTTGTCCCAGTATTTAGGGTAGGAATATTTCAAAACCTGCTAAATAACTTAATATGAAATATTGTTTTATCAGAGTTTTACCATCAACATGAGCAATGGCGTTCAGCTGGTTTACTATGTGGCTGCTGAAACTGGTTCCAGTGATGGTGGATGCGTATGCTGTGAGAGCGAGGGCGTGGGCATGGTTGTCGTCAAGGCTGGTGTATTGCGACTGGAGGTAGCGGAGGGCTAGCTTAAGGGCATCTGCGATGGATCTTCGTGATTCCTGTAAACATATTCTTGGATAGTTGAAATGTTAAAGTTTAAATAGTGAGTGTTACTAACGGAGAGACATACATAAACGTAAACATTGATGTCTATTGAATTGAAATACGTGTCTCATACTCACCCTGTCAAAGGTTTTACTAGCTTCCAAAGCTACTGTTATATAGGCTGTGAGAGCAACTGTTGATTTGGTTCCACCCTGTACACAAAGACCATGAATGAACATATGTTCTTAAGGTAAATACATTTATAGTACGTTGAAACGTAGATTCTGCAGCTAAACGACGCCTGGCGTATGCGACTGACCAGCCAGTTGCTGACATTACATTATTTGTATATCAACATTTTCATATTTGTAAAATAGAACAAGATACGTTTACGTACAATCTTGATGCTTGGTCGTGATTGCATTTCGAAACATTCAACACAGTAGTGACTCTGTTGCTGTTCACGCGGCATCGCGAACGAAGAATGGATTCTATGAACGTCAGTTTTGATATGTCTCAGTGGGCCTTGGATGTTTCATGTCTAACACAGACACCCCAGATTGGCTTTCCACTGATATAAAGTTGCCACACCAGTATCACCTGCATATCCTTATGGTAGAGAGTATGAGGTTCCCGGAAAGAACCATCACTGTTCTGCTGGCCCATCAACCAATCCAATGCACGGATAATGACGTCATCACTGACGAAAGTAAAGGATTTGGCCTCCTTGAACGATTCTATGACAAAGGCAGTCAACCTGTAAAGCAAAAGGCCGTTGAACAGCAAAACACATGCGTGCTCGTGCACTTAAAGAAATCACTTGTTCCAGCCAAATTGAAGTCTGACAACTGGTAGACATGATAGCGAACTTTGTGTACACCTCAGACACATGCATATTGGCACGGCTCACATGGCCGAAAGCTATGAATAAACAATGCCTTTGAGAAAGTGGTCAAATGTAGCATATCATTATATTATATGTTATATTTCAAATTGGTATTTCACATTCTTAGTAAAGTATAAAATCTAGAATTTTTAGTGGGTTGAGTCCCATTCGAGAATCGAACCCACAGACAAGTCGGAGGCAGGAAATTAGCACAAAATTAGCGATCTAAGTACTAGAATTTGTAACTTACTAAGATAGCGTAATCTCAAATATAACGTTAATATTTGATAGCAATGCTAAAGACTGAGGGGTTCCTTCAAATTAACTCCGTCACTAAATTGCCTCTCACCATACGACCAGTGGAATCTGTTTCCGCAGTGAATATTCCCTGGCGTTTAACTTCTTTGAGAAGCATTACGAGTGAGTGAGTGAGTAGGGTTTTACGCCGCTTTTAGCAATATTCCAGCAATATCACGGCGGGGGACACCAGAAATGGACTTTACACATTGTACCCATGTGGGGAATCGAACCCGGGTCTTCGGCATGACGATCGTCACGATATGGCTGAAATATTGCCGAGGTGACGTTAAATTCTAACTCACTCACTCACTTCGGCGTGAGGAGCGGACGCTTTAACCACTAGGCTACCCCACCGCCCCAGAAGCATTAGGAAGTTTGAGCAGTTAGGAAGGACAACACTATATGATTGAAAATTTACTTATTACAACGAGATCGACGTTTCGGTTACCGTTATCAAGCATGATGATCATGCTTGGAATTTGTTCATTCATATATAGGCTATCATGCGAGTGTGTTTTGGGATTGGTGATATCCTGTATTAGGAATAAACATTGTATTTAGCGAGCCTTGGCAACTTAAATACATAGTGTTTATTCCTAATGCAGATATTAACCATCCCAAATCACATGAGTGTAATAACCTATTACCACACAATGTCAATCTTATTTTATAATTTAAAAAAAATGCGATTTTAATTGCCACAAACCATGAAACTAAACTTCATGGAATGTGTAGATATCTATGACGTCACAAATATGTGCGTAGTAATACGTCACGTCACAAGCTTGGTGACACAATTTCCTGCTGATCACTCAACTGACTGCGGTGGGTCATCTAGTGTTTATGTTAAAGCACGTATTGTTGTCAATAAATATCAACTTCCGTTTCAAATTGAAAAATAACAACAAACTCGTGTGGAACCTGTTGAAACCTTCAATTAACCCTTTGAACAACACATACACATTAATGTTCCCGTGACAAATTTGCTCCTAACACTGACAGTCGGTCGGGGGACACACTCCGGCACAGTGATGACTTAGCATAACATCACTGTCACAGGCTAATTTGCATATCACGTGACCGGACTTTTCTCTTGTTTGTAAACAAGCGCGCAAATTCATAAGAAGAAGAGACTGGTCTTAGGCAGGGTTTTCGGCGCGCTCTTCACAATGTTTTACACTGTTACATATATATTGTTCCACAACTGCGACAGTAACATTTATGACAGTACATATATAGATATCAAACTGGTTGCATCGTTTGCTCTCCATCAGCTTCGATGGGAGCCGTACAACCTATGTAAACAAAGGATCGCTACGCAAATCGAAATAGTGTTACATGTTCTAGGATATTTTCTCAGTGAAACTAAACCATTCTATCAAAGATGTTTAATTAGATGTGAAGACTCGTCAAAAATGAAAGAGTTAAGGAATATGTAGATTATGTTGAATGGACGATGCAAGATGTGTCTATGAATTTCTATCTTCGCTTCGTAATCCACCCCATCTATAATAACCAGACACGAATTTTCTTGGATCAAAGTACTGACAGCACCGTAATCACGGCCGTCAATCCGGACACGATCGCCGACACGTGCCGCCATGTTTGTTTACACTGTAAAAGTAGTCCCTAAAATTTGCAAATGACCTCTCTAATTTGCATCGATATCCATATATGACCCCAACGGATACCGAACATATCCGTTGGCTTCATCCATTGTATGATAAATAGTGTTATCCTTCCTTCTCTAGCGTTGAGATATCGAATTCCTAGAGCACGATCAGAGAAAACAAACGAATGGAGGCATGGGAATTGTATTTATACGTCGTGTACAACTTTATATTCCTTCTAATAATGGCCACATCATCACACACGTGGATTTGATGAAAGAGGATCCGTGCAATGATGTCCATTGTCCCTTGCTTGTCGAAACATAAGGCGCTACTAAAGCAGATCATATTATAATATGTTATCTGGTTGACAGTGTATCCATGTGGCCCTATGTGTGGACAGTTCCTCGGCCTTCAAGAAACTTGGCCTTCATTTTCGAAGCTCTTTTAGCGCTAAGATAGTCGTAAGTTAATGTTAATGTATGGTACTTACGACTATCTTTGCGTTAAGAGAGCTTCGAAAATCTAGGCCCTTGGTTTGTCTGGTTGAGACTCCACTATTTACAGTTTTCAGTGATGTTGGTAAGTAAAGCATTGAACTTGAACTTGGAACGCGCGTATAACCCTACTAAAATTGGATAAGGATTAAACTTTATGGATGAACAACTTCTTTATTCGGATGATGCGACGTTTCGATACAGATTCTTGTATCGTTGTCCAAACATGCCACTCAAAGAAGTTCGCCTACTAAAATTCTCCGTATTTTACCTCCGTCTTCAGTCTTAATGCCTAGGTTTCCATTGGCTTTAATTATACGTTGTTGTCATGAAATCAACATAAATCGTTCGTGTATATCCAACAGACACTTTATATTTTTAAACCTAATATTGTGCTCCTAAAATTGTGATTATGTCCATGACATGATCAAACGCCCAACCTACCTGAAAGTCCGACTCTTATCTACTGAAAAGTCAGTATAAACTGAGAAAAAAGCTTAGCTGCTTCATCTCGCTATCCCTGTCAGTATTCAAAAACTAAACTGATGTTTAATTCTCAAAGATCAATCAGTTCCTGTGATTCATTAACGGGTAAACAAGTGCCTACGATTCCTTGGCTTTACTTACCATGTACTCCCGATGTTATCATATGTGAAGGTGGAGAAGGAGCCGTCATGAAGCTGATATATAAGCTCGTTCTGATACCCTTTGCACAAAAAATACGTATATATGAAATATGAATTACATATTTATATGATTTTCCAGCCATACCCTATTCATCCTCGTGACAAAATGCGACATAGGAGATGCGATGGGTGTCAACGCCTCAAGTGTAGACTTGACATCATCATTGTTTTCTTTAAATAAAACGATTAAGTTCATAGTCAGATTTCGTTCGAATACTTGAAATCGACTCTTTTCTATGAATGTGGAAAGGCTTTTGTCACTTTAATGCTTAAAGATTTTCCCATCAGTAACACAGTTGCGTCAAGGCCCTAGACGATACTGCTGCAACGTGATTGTTGCACATCACAGGGCTATTCGTTTAACGTTTCTTTAACCATTCTTCTTAGGAGAAATATGTACCCATGGCTCGACTTATATGCTGAACCACTGATTATTTATTCACTTGTTATGAATGAGCATTGAAAGTTTTCATTGGTTTTATAATATCCTTGTACCCGCCGAGGTCCGGTCTATAATGGGTATTTTTTAAAAAAATTCAATAGACACATTTGAAAACAATTTTGCTTTAAATCATGTTTCAAGTGACTTCGAATTTGTATTTGTTGATGTGCACCCATGCCTGATGAACGAACAGGACATGTTTTTGGCATTTTTAACTGGAATAGACGATTAGCACGTAGGAGCTTACATAAATACGCGTACGCAAGTTGAGAAGGATCATCAAAATGATCATAGTCACAGTACTTTGTCCAAGCTTACTGCACGTTGCTGTACCCGCAAGTAGCTGTTTGCACGTATTCATGTGGCCACCATCTGGTCATTTACCAACGGATTCGTGGGTTCTTTTAAGTGCACAGGGTTGTGTACTGTACACTAGGGGTTGTGACAACACTGAAAGAGTCTGCACAAAGTTGACTCAAGGTTTTTACACCCGGTCACAGGTGGGCTCGACCCCGGCACCTTAAGCTCGCTGGATCATTAGCATCGCTTGCCCACCGCGCCCCCATAATTTTCACTCTTACATACAATCTGCTTTCAACCTGATCATGGCTCACCTAAATTCAGACTGGCAATACACCCCTAAATTACACTGCACACATACACGTAATTTTATTCGCAATGACCTAAGCGCGTACTTTATACCTTGTTTGATATAGTTGACTATCTTGTCTTTGAGGGCAGGTGTCATCTGTCCAGTGGCCGTGAGATACTTTGCTATGTAAATGTCTGGAGACAGCCCGATCATCGTCTGCTCACCACAACCGGAAGGGAAGGTCAGTAACTGGCCCAGACCGTGGATACTGGAAGCCAGGATCTCACCTGGGCGAGAACAAGCAAACATGTCAATAATTGAGTGAATAAGGTTTTATGTCGCTTGTAACTATTATTATTTATTATAATTGTTATTTATAAAGCGCCAGTTCCCACGCAATTGTGCATGCTCAAGGCATTATTGCCCCTGATAATCCAAGATGTCTGTGAGGTGCTAGAAGGTGACCAGTCATATGACGTATCCTACCGGGTGCCCATTCACTGCTGGGTGAACAGGGGCAATTTATGAACAAACTCACTTGCCTAAAGTAACACGTATGCGTCGTTGTGGAGCATCATTGAAGTCCTAGAAACTTTCAAGAGTCAAGCTGTCACTCACGGTCACCCATCCAAGGACTTTTTGAACAACGTTGCTTAACTTCAACTGATTTGTGACCTGAGTTCTACGCACTATCAAACAATGTAAACTATGATCTTCATTATTTGCAGCCATATGGGGAATAATATATCGAACCCGGACTGTTGGCGTGAAGGAAAGCTTAATATTTGTAAAATTCCTTGTGAATAAAATAGAATTCTTGAGTTTCATGCAGTTCCTTGATGTCCCATCTGTGTTGCTGCGAGACTGAACAAACCAGGAGTGCCGATCGCTGGTCGTTCTCTTACATTTTGTAAGATCACTCACCGCAATCACATTTTATGAATAGTGACAATTCTTACATGAAATCCAAGAATTCTAAATTCTGACCACACAGTCAACACATTTGACGATGTCCAGTCTACTCCACACTGATCTGTGACCAATCTACCATCTGTGACCAATGCCATCAACTGACGTTGTGTCTACATTAATATTGTCACTGTTATGCCCTGATTTTTCTTACCTGATAATTTGGCTTTGATTTTCACTGACCCCTTGACAACGGTAGCTGGTAAAACGACATCGACAACCGTGGGAACAGATGAAGTGGAGGTCAGGTCGATTATCACTGGGAAATTATAATCCTGGGGTGCTCCTTGTGGCTGCACATGGAAATACAGGTGCATGGATTTAGACTCACTAATCGAATCTTTGTAGATAGCATAACGATTCGGCTGTACAATATAGGATCTGGACAAACGATAAAGCATCATTTGCCTTTGACCTGGCATCATTTGGCTGAATCATTGACAGAACGCTATCTTCCAAATCACTAAATTAAACCTTAGATCAGTCTACTTCCTATTCAAGATCACGCCAAAATTGCCTTTCAAGAAATTTGTTCAACAAATGAAAATGACTAGCAAGAAGTCCACATTAGCCAAATTAAGACGAACATTCCATATATTTGACCTCCATTCCAGACTGCGCCTGGAAAAAGATATTGTGTTCTCGTGTCAGATTTTGAAAACTGAGCAAAAAGAACTGAAATGATATGGAAGTGTTGCCCGGCGGCTATGAAAAATCTTATGGAACGCATCTTCCATTCTTAATGAAGGATAGAGAATGAAAGATAGAGAATAGATACTGCCCGCAGCATTTGCCAGAATGACTCGTCTTAACCTTTGCGAGGTGGTGTGAAAGTGATTCGGACTTTCACACTCTCGTTCTGGAAGGCGACTCTGTGAATGGTCGGATGATATTTCGCTTCACCAATATGCAGTGATTGACTTTTAAAATGTTCTAACTTTATTTGTATATGAAAAACACAATTATTACTAATTGTGTGCGGACCGCTCACCTTCACTTGTATCTCCTTAATGACCGTATCTCGGCTGTTGCCAAGTAAGCTTACAGCTGTTACTTTCACTGTCACTGTACCAAGCACTGTGAAGGAAGTAGGTTCGACAAATGACAAGCTCTCTCCATGTTTGACCTGAAATAGTGTCTCACCTTCACTTGTATCTCCTTAATGACCGTATCTCGGCTGTTGCCAAGTAAGCTCACAGCTGTTACTTTCACTGTCACTGTACCAAGCACTGTGAAGGATGTAGGTACGTCAAATGACAAGCTCTCTCCATGTTTGATCTGCAATAGTGTTGAGTTCGCATATTTCTACCACTTTGTTTGAATTATAGACTATTAGTATTTTGGGCAAATATATCTTAAGCGTATCCAGTTACAATAAATCTTCCGTTAAACCACAAAATAAGTGATTGTGATTTATGCCGAGAAATGAAGTACTTCATGTTCTGATTCCTATCATCACTAGGTCGCTTTTATATAATTTTGAAACTGATAGTTTGTATTACAGATGTGTACCTGGCCATTTCTGTAAACATTGTCCTTGCTGACAGAATTTTCAATGATGAGTGTAACCTGAAAATACACGACAAATATTGAATGTATTTCAACAGTAAAACATAGTACTGTTCACAAACGTATGATCTTAAATGGTCACTTAGTAGCATCCATTGGCTGCAAGATGTTGCTACAAAACATATATACATGGTATTATACTTATAAAATGTTAATAATGTTAATAATGTTACTTATAAAATGTTAATACTTATAAAGTGTATAATTATTTATATTTCGATTAGTTTGGTTTCAAAAGTAATTTTGTAGTTCTAGGTAACTATTCTACACCATTTAAGGTGCCGGTATCTCATTACACATTTTCGCATGTCACCTATTAACTTACAGTCAGTTTGATTTTAAATAGACCAAACCTTCTCGCACGCCAAGGAGGTTCATGAAAGTCACGGGTATAATTCTATCATATGAGCATAGTCGTATTGCATCTTACCGGAGTTTCCGATCCCATGTAGTTGTAGACAACCGGTTGGAGATATATCTTTTCTCCGGAAATAATATGATCAGGTGTGACAAGCGACACAAAAAACTTTAAAGACGAGAGAATCTGAAAAAAAATATAAGGGACATCCTGATTATTCTTAAGATCTCAATATCAACCAATAGTTAAGACTTTGATCACAGAACACTTGAGTAACATGTATATGAGTGTGACGTAATTGTTGCTGATTCTATGGTCCCCAAATGATGTATGTATGTGTGTGTATGTATGTATATATGTATGTATGTATGTATGTATGTATGTATGTATGTATGTATGTATGTATGTATGTATGTATGTATGTGTGTGTGTTTTTGTCTGTGTGTATGTATGTACGTACGCATCCATGTGTGTATGTATGTATGTATGTGTGTATGTATGTTGGTATGTATGTGTGTGTGTATGTATGTATGTACGTACGCATACATGTATGTATGTATGTATGTATGTATGTACGTACGTACGCATCCATGTATGTATGTATGGATGGATGGATGCATGCATATCTCACATATCATGTATGTATGCATGCATGTATGCATGCATGTCTCACATGATATGTCAATTTACCAGATATCCCACATATCATGTATGTATGTATGTATGTATGTATGTGTGTGTGTGTGTGTGTGAGTGTGTGTATGTATGCATCCATGTGTGTGTGTGAGTGTGTGTATGTATGCATCCATGTATGTATGGATGGATGGATGTAGGCATGCATCTATGGATGGATGGATGGATGGATGAATGGATGCATGCATGCATGCATATCTCACATGCTATGACAATTTACCAGAAGACCAGCAATTGTGCGGAGATCATTTCTAACCTTGACACCGAGTCCATTATACTTAAGTATGTATTGCACTGTGGGTGAAATTCTGGAAATAAACTCTGTCAAAAAAAGAAACGCAACCCCTGTCCTCAGATATGAAAAATTCGTTTGAATGAAGTTATTGCTTCCAAACTAAATTTTATTCGAATGTATTGAAATGATACACGTAATTAATGAAGATTACCATCCAAACAACTGCATTTGTACGCATAAGTGTATTTTATTGCTTATTCCGTCACAACGCATGAAATGACCCTCATGGTGACTTCGCACAAAAAAACCACATGCAAATCATGAAAATGGCAGTTAATGTAGGGGTGTATAAAAGCCCATGTGCTTCCGTATTATATTCATTCATTTGTCGCCGAAAAGCTGTGTTAAAAATGCCACGATTGAGTGCTGCCGACCGAAATATCGCCATTGGTCGTGTTCAAGCCGGAGAAAGTTTTGGAACTGTTGCACGGCACCTAAATGTTCACAAAACAACGATATCCCGACTTTGGAGCCGCTACAACAACTTCAATTTGACCAACGATCGCCCGAGAAGTGGAAGGCCAAGAATCACGACCCCCCCTTCAAGATCGGTACATCCGGGTCCATCACCTGCGTAATCGGCATGCCCTACCAACCGTGACTGCCACACAAATACCAGGTTTGAGGAGAGTGTCAGCTCAAACGATTAGGAACCGTCTGAAAGAAGCGGGTTTACGTGCCTGTAGACCAGTTGTTGGACCTGTACTACGCCCCCTACATCGACGCCGACGACTCAGGTGGTGCAACAACGTAAGGATACGGACTTTACAAAACTGGAGGCGAATCTGGTTTTCTGATGAATCACGTTTTCTTTTGCAACGTCACGACGGAAGACAGCGTCTGTATAGGAGACGTCATAAACGTTTAGCGCCCATCTGCGTCCGACAGGTGGACAGATTTGGCGGAGAAAGCGTCATGGTTTGGGGAACCATCTCATACAACCAGAAATCTGACTTGGTGATCGTTCCAGGGAACCTGACAGCCCAACGTTACATCAACCACGTGTTAGAGCTTCACCTTCTCCCGATTATTGACCAACAGACACAGATTTTCAACGGGACAACGCCCGGCCTCATACTGCACGTGCAACAATGAACTTTCTGCAGAATTCCAACGTCAATGTCTTGCCATGACCCTCTAAATCACCAGACCTCAACCCTATTGAACACCTGTGGGATACTCTGGATCGACGCGTACGTCAACGTCAGCCGCCGCCACAGACGCTGCAACAGCTCGCCGTTGCACTGCAGGAGGAGTGGAGAGCCATTCCCCAGGAAAGAATCCGGCGTCTTATCCGTTCTTGTCCAAGGAGATGCCGTGCAGTGATTGCAGCGCGTGGTGCTCATACGAGATACTGAGACAGACGCCCCCCCTGGTGACAAACTGGTGTCTGTGAGATGACTTTTGAAATGACAATTTTAAACATGCCCATCTGGGTTATTATTCTGCCAAATTTCAGACTTCTGTCTTAAATAATAAAAATGCCGTGTCGTCCTAAAACTTCAGATCAAAATCTCTAAAATACAGGGGTTGCGTTTCTTTTTTTGACAGAGTTTATATAAAGGAACACTTGTACTTTCATGTGTTCCCGTATTCGTTTCAATGAGTATATATTTTTCTGGCTGATAGTTTCCAGTTTCAACAGTCTGGAGCATGAACATTTTAAACATTTATTTGTTACTCCCAATTCCAAACACGCACGCACGCATACTCAAAGTGATCCAAGCCTACCTCGGTGTATCCTGACGTAATGCTTAGTCCATACATTGAGCTCATAGCAAAGGCACTCGCCACCCATGTCGTCACCGTGTCCCCCAGTTGGACGGGGATGTCCACACTGCCCGTCGACCTGGAACAGAATAAGGCATTTTAGCAGACCATCTTATTTATATTTTGTAAATACAACCACTATTTATAACAAACCATGGTGAAACAGACTTCTTTTTCATACAAAAGAAAACTACAGACAAATATGCAAATACTCTATACATATGGCAAATAAGACGAAAGCTTTTTATAATCCTAAGAAATTATAAGCAGTGTCCTTTGTACGATTCCGAATATATATCAGGAACGTGTGGTTATTGGTTACTGTCAAATAGTAATGATATCAGGTGTTCTCCAATAGTCAACTGCGCCATTTATATAAAGTAGTGAAAAAGAAGATCAGTTAGATTGAACATAAAGTAGTAAATAAGGGAGTTTTAGAGACGAACCCTAGGGTGGCATTGGTCCACAGCAGGGTATCAACGAAATTGGTCCGTCCCCTTGTCCTGTCGACGAGGACATCCCCAGTGCTCGATGTTGGAAATCCAGAAGGGCCTGGCGTAGGCTGAGAAGCTGTTGGAAATCCAGACTGACCTGCCATAGGCGAAGCTGTTGCTGGACCAAAGACTGTCTGGCCGGGCAATGCCGTTGGAAGGCCAGATTGTCCACGACTTGGGGACCCAGTTGGGAAAGCGGTAGATGCTGCTGCTGGAAGTCCTTTCCACAGAATGATAATATGAAGATGATAATTAACAACTTATTCTGAGTAAAACAATTATTCTTTACAGTATCATTCTATTTTATTTTATTTTTGGTTAACTTGATAATTGTCATCTGAAAAGGAGCTCTCTGAACTGTCTGACTCATTGCTGATTCACAGTTGCATTTTTGATACTTTCAGCTGAAGTTTCTATTGATGACACGCTGCATGTTGACAAACAGGTGATCAGCTGTTGGAAAATGGCGTCGTTTATATTTCGATACATGTATTCCTATGTGCTTACAAAGGACGCATACATAATGTCTGTATTATCCTTTAAATCCGACAAGAACCGAATACAAGTAAATATTCTCGCCATTGGCGAGATTTTTTAATATCGCTCTAAATTAGCCGAATTAAGTCAAAATGAGTTGAAATTTGTGTCATGATCGTTATAAACATACACTCACGTGCAAAAGAAACGTCCCCAAAATTTAAGTTATATTATATTTGCTGGATATGGCCAAAAACATGAAAAACATGAACACATTGCCCAAACACACAAATGTATGACACCCCAAGGAAATGCACGTTTTGCATGCCAGAAGCGGGAAAAATGTGAAAAAAAATTTATTCAGTGAAAATTCCTGCACGTTTATTAAATCACCCGTGTGGACATTGGTTATAAAACACGTTGGAAACTGTTCTTTGCAATCACAATCTTCTGAAAAATCAGTAGAACATGCCTCGATTAACAACATAAAAGAGAGAAAGACCGATTGGCATGCTGCAGCTTGGGGCAACGCACGACCATGTTGGAAGAATCCTGGGTTGTGCAAAAAAGAACGATTGGGACATTGGTCACACGTTACAGACAAGCTGGCTGGACAGCAGACAGGCCGAGGAGCGGTCGAAAGCAAGTCACTACCCCACAAGAGGACTGTTATATACGGACGCTTCATTTAAGCAACATATTCCTCGCCGTGACGTCATCATCAGTGCTTAGCCTTGGTCATTGCGTCAGCAGGTGGACTGTGTCCAGACGACAACGTCAGCATGGAAATCTGAGCCTATAGACAGTTGAGGGGCATGACGTTACCGCCGGAATATCGACGTCGAAGATTGGTTTTGGCCAGGAATGTTCGTCAGGTGCAGCCCGTCGGTATATTGATGAAGTTCTGCGGCCCCTTGTCCTGCCTCTCCTCCAGCAATATATCCAGGAACCGTGTTTGAACAAGACAATAGAACACCTCACACCGCATTTGTCACAACGGCCTTTTTCAACGTCAACAACGTGCCCGTACAACCTTGGCCACGAAAATCCCCTGACATGTCTCCGACAGAGCACTGTCAATGGAGCATCCTGGACGTCGGATTCTACGCCTTCCACACCCTCCATTGACGAGAAATGCACTGGCTCAGGCGTTACAGACAGAATTGAGACGGATCCCCGGTCACGTAATCAGGAGACTTACACACTCGGCCCGACGACGTCTTCTGACGTGTTCCGATGGAAGGGGTGGACATGCGCGGTATTGACGATCTGCATTCCCATTTCAACCTCTGTTTTGTCATTTGTTGTTTTGGCTTTCGCTCGAATACTGGACAATCGACCCCCATGTGACAACATTCCCTATACCACAGTTAGGTTTACCACGTTCTCTTTCTTTATGTCAGAAATGCTTGACATACACCTTTGTTATACATATCAAACGTTCATATCTATTCGTGTTTGTGCTTGTGTTGTCTGATAGCTGAAAAATACTTGGGGACGTTTTTTTTGCACGTGAGTGTACACTCATTCATTTACAACCTTCAAAACTTGGAAAAATATGTATTTTGAATAAAAGCTAATATTCTCGCCGATGGGCCAAAATGTTTTTCGCCCGTGGGCGAGATTTTTTAATATCACTCTAGATTAGCCAAATTAAGTCAAAATGAGTTGAAATTTGTGTCATGATGCTTTTAAACATACACTCATTCATTTGCAACCTCCAACACATGAATTCTGAGCGAAATTAAACATTCTCGCCCATGCGCCACTGTTCGCCCATGGGCCGGCCCAGTTTTCGAAAGATATTTTTTTCATTTTTTTATCCTTAGCATATATTCATAACAACTGCATGTTTAATTTTGTCGAATCCTTTGTCAGAAAGAGTCCATAGTGAGGAGAATTTCTGGACTTTTGTGAGTCAAGAATTAATGTGTTAATACGTTTATCTGCATAAACTGTTTAACTGCATAAGCTGTAAAATGTCATAATTATCTGGCATGTGACGCCCGTGGGACGTGATTGTGACAACGAAAGTGTTTTGTTGGAGTACTTTCAGAGAAATGTAAAAGAACAGGCAATCTTAAATGATAATATATTTATCTATGGTTGTATAGTTAAAATTCCGTGGCGATGTCAGATCCGATGTGATGAACAAAGTATATTTGAAAAAAACCCCAACTGCTTCACTCAGTAACAAATTGTTTTACGCACCCTCATGTATTCAGCGTTCCTTCTATTAGTGTAAAGGTTGTTGCTCATGATATTGATCACTGGAGTGTTTGGTCTACCCCCGATAATTTAAGACCGGCGCTATATGGTTGGAATATTGCTGGGTGATGCGATAAACGACAAACAAATTTTATCCTTCATTTAAGGACTTAATATCCCCCTCACCTTTTTTCGGAAGTGTCGTGTTAGCATCTCATCCCCTCCCCATTTGTAGAAACTGAACACAGAATTTCTTTTGGCTCACGAAAGTTATGTGATTGAATCTCTATTTTTGGCGTCGACTATGACAACAAATAGATCAGGTAATTTTGATAGTTTTTCGATGGTATCTTTATAAATGACACGCAGGATAGCTGTGGATTCTCCTAAAGTGGCCACCCGTGAAGATCCGGGTACGAATGGTTCTTCAACAACCCATGTTTGTCGTCAGAGGCGACTAATAGGATCGGGTGGACAGACTCGCTGACTTGGTGGACACATGTAATCGTATCCCAATTGCATAGATCGATGCTCATGCCGTTGATCATATCACTGTATTATCTGGTCCAGACTCGATTATTTACAGATCGCCGCCATAGAGCTGGAATATTGCTGAGAGCGGCGTTACACAACAAACCAAACCAACCAAGCAGCGTCATTCGACAAAGTAAATCACATGTTCTTCATTGACCTGATTCGTAACCCCAACCACTTTTAAAACCAACCTAACGGAGATGTCATCGATTGGAATACACCGATGATTGGTGTACTACCCACAGGAATCGCAATGTATAAGGACAATCATCACGTGGACTATTCTACTCGCAAGAAGCATATGGCTTTGGGGACGAATACCGACAGGAACGGTATTGCAAAACAGGTAAAATCAAGACCAGGTATTTGTAGTGGTTTTACAATACTTAAACGCTGTATTATATATCTCACCTGTGAAAGATTCACAGTTCATTCCAGTGTTGGCCCTAGAGCAAACGCAGGTGTACCCCAATGACGTCACCTGGCAGGTACCTCCGTTTAGACAAGGTCGAGAATAACAGTCTAAACAAAAATATCCAGTGTCAGCAAGATCCAAACGTTCCAGCGTCCGTAGTTTAATCCCGAAAATACCTGTGTCTGGTTAAAATGTATTGCTGTACACACAACTATGATATGTTCAACTAGACTATAAAACACACACCGACCTAACCCCTTCGCGCCACACAACAAGATTGTGAGACTGATATTGTAATAATAAGTCCACGGTCCTTTCCCATGTATTACTTTTGAAGGACTACCCTACGAGATAAACAAAATGTATTGTAACCCTGGACAAGTTGTTTATAATTCTTCTCTAAATGTGTTGGTTGGTTTGAAATGATATTTTTTGTTAATTGGTTCTTTTGTTTTGTTTTGAAGCACAGCGAGATGTTTACGGAATATATTTTACCTGTCACCAGCTGACAGTGGTCACCCTCAATGTATTGTGGACACTGGCATCTGTGCCCTGATGGCAACACGACACATGTTCCATTGTTCTGACAGGGCTGATGAAAACACTCTGGAATAATCAGATAAACAACGGGTGAAACCTACGATTATCAAGATATATAAGTTTGATTTGTATTTTCTTCATGTTCAAGTCATCTGTCTAACTGATATTATTCCCGATCCAATGTGCGAATTAATTTTACGAAATTGTGTTTTTTCCTTTCTTTTTAACCATGTCATTATTATGGAAGCATCAGTTTGACCTTGGCGTCTTGCAATGATTTGATATAACACTGGATTGAAATAGTTTCATCTAGGACCACACGCAGTGCTAGGCGGAAACAACTGTGAGGCATCACTAACGTACCGGTAATCGTTTCACAGTTAACCCCTTCAATGTACTGGTTACAATGGCAGATGTGTCCCGAGGAGGTCACTACACAGCTTCCACCATGTTGGCAGGGCAACGTGAAGCATTCTGTCAGAAAACAAATCGAAACTTTCTGTCAGAGAGAGAGAGAGAGAGAGAGAGAGAGAGAGAGAGAGAGAGAGAGAGAGAGAGAGAGAGAGAGAGAGAGAGAGAGAGAGAGAGAGAGAGAGAGATAAACATTTTATCTCGGACACAACGTAGAAACATTCGGTCACAGACAGCATGGTGTTATTACCTGCTATTATAAAACTGCACACACTACTTCTTTTATAGGACATGTGACGTAATTAATTTGGTTGAGTATATGTGAAATTTCACCTGTCACATGTTCACAGTTCTTCCCGGTGATCAGTTGAGGGCATGTGCAGGTGTACCAGGGGTCATAGTTGATGTGATGACATGTACCGCCATGTTGACAAGGGATGATGCGACACCCTGTTCGTGAAAAATACATCCACGCACAAATAACGAACACATACTATTTTATATATATAGTAAGATGCATTGACAAGCCATGACGCATATTGACATATCATTTTACATAAGCATATTAAGCCTAATACATATAAAGAAATCCACAAAATGATGGCCCAACACAAAAATTCCTCAGGGGCAGATTACAGTTACGGATATACTGCCTTTATATATTGAATGTGCGGATGTGTGTGTGTGTGTGTGTGTGTGTGTGTGTGTGTGTGTGTGTGTGTGTGTGTGTGTGTGTGTGTGTGTGTGTGTGTGTGTGTTTTCTCGGTATGTGTAAATGACAACTTTAATATTCTCGTACCCATGAAGCTCTCACAGTTCTTCCCTGTGACGTCAATAGGGCAGTCACAGTTGTAACCAGGGAGTCTATCACTGCACGTGCCTCCATGGATACAAGGGTTGGAGTTGCATTCGTCGATGTCTAAGACAGCAGTAATATTTTCAAAACTAAAATGAATTGTGTTTTTTTGCGACACAAAAAGATAATTTCCCACGGAGTAAATCCTGTTGAGGATTTAAGAAATGACGTATCAATCTATGTATTTGTGTTGTATGAGAAAGTTGTGAACCTCTAATTAAAGAAACGTGGGGAATATCCTTACTGGTTCAGACGCATATATCACAGTTACCAAAAACACACACACGAATCAGGAACATATACATATATATATATTTACAGTCATTCTTCTTATATGTATATGTTCATGACGATAAGCGATGTTTAAGTTAGACGCTATAACATTTAGTAACAATGTATAGATTTTCTGTTTTCAATGAAACGAACCTGCTTGGCGAACCAAAATCTGTATGCCCTCATGCTGAAATAACAGTACACAAACACATCTTGATTGTAAAATAAACAGAGATAACATGTATATTTTGACGTCCTGACAAAATCGTCATAACGAAGAGCATAGTGTTTTACTCTGGAGATTTTTTTGTTACATTTTGAGGTGAACTGAGGTCTCTCCATATATCTGTTCGAGAACAAGCTTGACACTACGGACAAAAAGTTTTATGACGCATCAGCTCCGAGGAAGTACATATATTTTAGCCCCCAAACCCGAATATAATTAACATACGATCGGTTTCATTTATGTTAATTATGCAAACTTCCTCTCCATATGTTGAAAGATATCAAGGTTGAATTCAAAAACAGATCTTGCAAAAGTTTATGAAAACAAATATTTCATTTTCTGAAAATGAACAGGATGATGAACCGAAACAAGAATCCATAGAAGACATTATTCCGAAATAGCCATGACTCTATAATGTGAAAACATCACAAACGTTGAGGTATTTACAATTATAACATTTATTAAATTTAGGCTTATAATATCCAGATATATTTGAATATGTCAGTTGACAAACACAGAATGAGGTGGACTTTTTGTGTTAAAGGCACTATTTCATACCACACTTCTCTAAAAATAAATAATAATACATTTCTCTCAATAATACTATCATCCCTCAGGGAAGCTACCATATAAATTTATGCCCCCAAAATTACGGATTCAGATTTCAATATTGAATTAAAAAGTTCGAATGAATGAATGAAACATTTCAATAAATCGACTAGCGCGCCCTCTGCCGGCAGAACATTATTTCAAGCGAACCTGATAGAGTTATGTCCCCTTTACGAATATCCTTTGGAGACAGAACTCCGTCCTAGACCAAATAGCGGCGCAAATTGTGATTGAAACCAGTTCAATTAGGCAAGTTGTAAAGAATACTTAGTATTCATTGCATCATTAGGAAGCTAGAGTGAGTGCATATGCCCCAATATATATAATGTAGGCCAAAATATTGTCGACAATGTGTGTCATTGTGCCTTTAACGTAACGAATAGGCTGGATGAGGCAACATCTATGTATATTTTTTTTTTGAACACTTGATCTTTGAATATTGAACCCGTCTAAGATGATTCGTGTAGAGTAAAGAAAACATTCAACGCTTTTGGTAATGTTTTAAATTTTCAATATATTTCTGCCCCCAGTTAAAACAAATCATTGCAATTTGTATCGCAGGTTCTCCATCTAAGTATATTATTTAAATTTCATGGGAATTGCTGCAAAATCCTCATACCGTCAACATATCATCCATGGTTCTGTCATCCGGTGTGACGTCATGTTCCAGCAATTTGTTGGTATACTTTATGAAACGTAAAAAGTCAGTTATAGTTAGAGGTATTAGAATTGATACAATCAAAATGATAGAACAGTAGTTTGCCTGAAGATTCAGCAATAATATTGCCGATAACAGTACGGATAAGTTCAGGAACGGAATGTTCTTTACGGAAATATTCGGCCAAATTCGCTTACACCACCAAGGAGTGTTCAATCGTATAATAAATGGTTTAGCTACTACTTTTGCTTTTAGAATTAGTTCCTAGAATTAGTGCTAAAATGATTTAATCTCAAATTCATCTCCATTGAATACCAAAATGTTCGTGGAACGGGAATTTAAATACGTTTTCACCATCTCTCCAATATATTAACTTCCAGAATTCTAAAAAGAATACACTTTATAATTTCTGGTCATCAACTTACTCTTGATCGTGTCATTTCGTTAGTATTGCCCAAGATGAGAACACTCTTGTCGACGGCTGTAATGTAGACGGTAGCCCCCGCAGGGCCGTTGGCTTGGAGGCTGACGGTGTCCCCGGGACGGGTCTGACTTTTACTGAACTCCACCTTCAACTGAGTGAATGAGTGAATGGACTGTTGAGTGAGTGAGTAACGAAGCGAATACCTGTACCACTGCTGTCCCAGAGTATCACTTCATTACATCCTAACCAAGCGAATACCTGTGCCATTGCGTTCCCACAATATAATTTAATTAAATCCCGACAAAACGAATACCTGTACCACTGCTGTCCAACAATATCACTTCATTACATCCTAACCAAGCGAATACCTGTGCCATTGCGTTCCCACAATATCATTTAATTAAATCCCGACAAAACGAATACCTGTACCACTGCTGTCCAACAATATCACTTCATTACATCCTAACCAAGCGAATACCTGTGCCATTGCGTTCCCACAATATCATTTAATTAAATCCCGACAAAACGAATACCTGTACCACTGCTGTCCCACAATATCACTTCATTACATCCTAACCAAGCGAATACCTGTGCCATGCCATTGCGTTCCCACAATATCATTTAATTAAATCCCGACAAAACGAATACCTGTACCACTGCTGTCCAACAATATCACTTCATTACATCCTAACCAAGCGAACACCTGTGCCATTGCGTTCCCACAATATCATTTAATTAAATCCCGACAAAACGAATACCTGTACCACTGCTGTCCCACAATATCACTTCATTACATCCTAACCAAGCGAATACCTGTGCCATTGCGTTCCCACAATATCATTTAATTAAATCCCGACAAAACGAATACCTGTGCCACTGCTGTCCCACAATATCACTTCATTAAATCCTGACAAAACGAATACCTTTGCATCTGCTGTCCCACAACAACACTTCATTCAATCCTGACAAAACGAATACCTGTGCCACTGCTGTCCCACAATATCACTTCATTAAATCCTGACAAAAGGAATACCTGTGCCACTACTGTCCCACATTATCACTTCATTGAATCCTGGCAAAACGAATACCTGTGCCACAATATCACTTCATTAAATCCTGACAAAACGAATACCTGTGCCGCTCGTATCGCACAATATCACTTCATTCATTAAAATTCATTAAAACCTGACCATACCTGTGCCACTGCTGTCCCACAATATCACTTCATTAAATTCTGACAAAACGAATACCTGTGCCGCTCGTATCCCACAATATCACTTCATTAAAACCTGAGAAAACGAATACCTGTGCCACTGCTGTCCCACAAAATCACATCACTAAATCCCGACAAAAACAAATTGCCTGTGCCGCTCGTATCGCACCTTATCACTCCATTACATCCTGACCACACGAATACCTGTGCCATTCATATCCCACAATATCACTTCACTAAATCCTGATTAAGCGAATATCTGTGCCATAATATGGATTAATGTGGTGCAATGTATGTTATTGGGCACTGGTATCTCAGCCGTATAAAGTGCCCCAAATCAATTTGAATGACGCGCCTTTTTTGAGCACGATAAAATGTATGGTAATGGTCTGAATTCAGGATTCAGTGTGACATCTGAATGATGAAGTCCATGATCTGCGTTTGATATATTTTGCCACCTACTCCTAATAAACAAACTGAACTGAATATACCAACCTTGTTCTTGGCAGAGTTCCCCACGTCAAATGACGTTATGTCTCCCACAGCTCTTCCGTCGTCGAGGAAGTAGTAGACGAGGACATGGGCTCTGGGAAACATCAGCTGTGTGACGGGAATCGCCATAGTCGTCATGCTTTTATTATTACTATGAAATATCCCATCCTCCACGGATTCGTCTCGAACAAAGATCTGAGAAAACATGTTTGTACGTTCATGCTAGATTTGTTTACCTTGATAACAACATCTTCCATAAAATTGTTATTCCTCTCATTCAAACATTTACAAATTATACCTATATATATACATTAGGTTTCCCTTGGGTATAAAAATGTACTAAATATTAAGGACTTTAAGGGCTTTAACTCCAATACGTGATCATAACACAATTGGTTTCACAGAATATAGAACGTCATTTCTATAGAACAAAGCAGCCTCTATTATACATCGACACCTATATTAGGTGTAAAAGACAAACTAATGGGTTAAATTATATGAATGAGGCAGTGGTGGCTCCTTCATAAGCGAATCCATTTATTTGTAAGCTTTAATTATCAGTGCAGGAGTTGAATACCAAAACGAACACAGAACTATTGCCATATTTGCTTATGAATTGGCTGGACGCATTTGACATAAAGCGTGTCTTCACCATGACACAATAGAGCGACCTGATCAATGTGTCGTTTAAAGAAGCTTTAATTTGCCAATATGCTAAGAGAAAGTATGCACAATGGATGGAAATTGTTTTTTTTTTATTGTGAATGAGGTTAATGTGAAACATTAAAATAAATAGGTCTCGGGTTTGTGCACTAACCTGGTAACGTAGATCAGGCATAGGCTTGTTTGAAAGAACGGTCAGGTTTAGGAGAGTTCCAGCCTAAACAAAATTCCGCTATATTTAAAGGAGATCTGCAGACATGATTAAAAGACACAAGAACAGGTGCATATACAAGTTAATAAACACTGGGTAGTTTAGTGATTAAAGTCACACGGGTTCGAGTCTACAACAATTGGGCTATACATATTCGATACCTGTATTTCATTCGTGACAGGGAGGATTTCCAAGAAGTTGTTCCAAGGAGACATGAAGGATTGTGGTTTCAAACCTTCCACCAGCCCGTTGTATTCCACCTGAAAAAGTAGAATCAATGTATGATGGTTTCAACAGTTGTTTGGGAATCTGCAGTGATGAAAGGGAAATGTTCAGATAGTTCTCTTATAGGTGACTGACCTCGAGGTATTAAACATTATGGAAGTAAATTATAAATACATGTATTAAATATGGAAATATTTTTTCAAAGAGTGAAATTTATTACCGTTCTCGTTCCAACATCCACGTTTATTCTCGTATTCAAATTAATGCGTACACATTGTTACTGTCTGATCACGGAATGGGCTGTATGAATCCAACTGTGCTGTGACTGTGTCTCTTACCTCCAGAAACAGAGAGTTTGTACCAATGGGGATGTCTACTTTGTGGCCATCAATACCACTCATTGAAGGAGTAAAGGACATCTTTGTTGAATTTCTGTTAGTAATAATGGTAAGCTGCGCTTTCTGGTCTTGAGATTTAAGAGGACTTCCGTCGGGCTGTGTGATCGTTGTCTGTGGCACAAAAAATCATTTAGTTAAACGGTTGAATGACACCGTAAACTACGGTTATTACGAACTCAAGAAGACCACCAGATTTATAACTACGGTTATTACGAACTCAAAGAGACCACCAGTTTATCAACTACGGTTGCTACGAACTCAAGGAGACCACCAGTTTATAAACTTCGGTTATTACGAACTCAAGGCGGCGACCAGTGTTTTGAAATACGATTATTAAGAACTCAAAGAGACCACCAGTTTATCAACTACGGTTATTACGAACTCAAGGAGATCACCAGTTTATAAATTACTGTTATTACGAACTCAAAGAGACCACCAGTTTATCAACTACGGTTATTACGAACTCAAGGAGACCATCAGTTTTATCAACTACGGTTATTACGAACTCAAGGAGACCACCAGTTTTATAAACTACTGTTATTACGAACTCAAGGAGACCACAAGTTTATCAACTACGGTTATTACGAACTCAAGGAGACCACCAGTTTTGTAAACTACAGTTATAACGAACTCAAGGAGATCACCAGTTTTATCAACTGCGGTTATTACGAACTCAAGGAGACCACCAGTTTATCAACTACGGTTCTACGAACTCAAGGAGACCACCAGTTTATAAACTTCGGTTATTACGAACTCAAGGCGGCGACCATTTTTTTTAAATACGATTATTAAGAACTCAAAGAGACCACCAGTTTATCAACTACGGTTATTAAGAACTCAAGGAGATCACCAGTTTATAAATTACTGTTATTACGAACTCAAAGAGACCACCAGTTTATCAACTACGGTTATTACGAACTCAAGGAGACCACCAGTTTAATAAACTACTGTTATTACGAACTCAAGGAGACCACCAGTTTATCAACTACGGTTATTACGAACTCGAGGAGACCACCAGTTTTATCAACTACAGTTATAACGAACTCAAGGAGATCACCAGTTTTATCAACTGCGGTTATTACGAACTCAAGGAGACCACCAGTTTATCAACTACGGTTGCTACGAACACAAGGAGACCACCAGTTTATAAACTTCGGTTATTACGAACTCAAGGCGGCGACCAGTTTTTTTAAATACAATTATTAAGAACTCAAAGAGACCACCAGTTTATCAACTACGGTTATTAAGAACTCAAGGAGATCACCAGTTTATAAATTACTGTTATTACGAACTCAAAGAGACCACCAGTTTATCAACTACGGTTATTAAGAACTCGAGGAGACCACCAGTTTTATCAACTACGGTTATTACGAACTCAAGGAGACCACCAGTTTATCAACTACGGTTGCTACGAACACAAGGAGACCACCAGTTTATAAACTGCGGTTATTACGAACTCAAGGAGACCACCAGTTTATCAACTACGGTTGCTACGAACACAAGGAGACCACCAGTTTATAAACTTCGGTTATTACGAACTCAAGGCGGTGACCAGTTTTTTTAAATACAATTATTAAGAACTCAAAGAGACCACCAGTTTATCAACTACGGTTATTAAGAACTCAAGGAGATCACCAGTTTATAAATTACTGTTATTACGAACTCAAAGAGACCACCAGTTTATCAACTACGGTTATTAAGAACTCAAGGAGACCACCAGTTTTATCAACTACGGTTATTACGAACTCAAGGAGACCACCAGTTTAATAAACTACTGTTATTACGAACTCAAGGAGACCACAAGTTTATCAACTACGGTTATTACGAACTCAAGGAGACCACCAGTTTTATCAACTACGGTTATTACGAACTCAACGAGTTCACCAGTTTTGTAAACTACAGTTATAACGAACTCAAGGAGATCACCAGTTTTATCAACTGCGGTTATTACGAACTCAAGGAGACCAGGCACTTTGATATATGAATGTAAACTAAAATACAGCAAGCGGTCGGGAACCACAAACAATTCGTTATAAATGTCAATTCGGTATAAGCGTGTTCGTTATATATGTTGTTTATTCTAGTTGTATTATCTGATTGCTGTGACACACTGTTTGATACATGTGGTCAAGCAAGAACAAAGTTCATGAAAAATCAGTAACCTGAAATATGAACGGCAAACCAGGCTTGTAGTACTTGTGTGGCGTAGTGAGTTTCAAGATAACCGATGTTTCATAGAGAGAGATGGACCCGGAACCATTCATTGTGATCCCTGACTCCTCCACGTAGGCGTCGATAATCAGGGAGTCTGTTGAAAGGGGAGCACCCAGGAAGGACTGCATCTGTAGGATCCGGGACATAGGAATGCTAAACACAGCCTCTCCTGAGGTCAGCTGCAATCATAATACGTCTTGTGGAATAATGGAAACAAACTATTAGCAAATACTCGTAACAACATTTTTAAGTATTTCATATTTTGTTTGTATTTTCAGTGTAACAATTACATTAGTGTGGGGTATACATGCAGTTAATAATGAAAGCATAACCTGTAATTTCTAATTATGTTATACGGATGAAATTGAAACTTATTGTGTCAAGTTTTATATTTATTATTATAAATAACGACGAGGCCCACAAACATTTTGGGGTCCATCTTTTATCAAAGGAAATCTGCGGCCATGGTATGTTGGTATGTCCCAGGACTGCAAAAGACCGACTATGGACACATTTCCTTGAACATCTTTACCAAAGGTGTACCTGTACAAATAAATTACGTTTTTACTGGACATCTATTCATTTTGAAACACTTCCAATCCGATGCATTGTATGTAACATATTACTGGTTGTTTTGTTTTTGTTTTTGTAACATTGATGATTTTGTACACAAGGCACTACTGCATGGATGGTATGATGATGCAATTAAATGCTTCATTTACATCAAAACTCCATCAACCATCTCGTACTTTTCTTAAACATCCATAGTGTATACTTCTGAAACCTTCACGTATCTGGCTGAAGCCTTAGTGTATACTTCTGAAACCTTCACGTATCTGGCTGAAGCCTTAGTGTATACTTCTGAAACCTTCACGTATCTGGCTGAAGCCTTAGTGTATACTTCTGAAACCTTCACGTATCTGGCTGAAGTCTTAGTGTATACTTCTGAAACCTTCACGTATCTGGCTGAAGTCTTAGTGTATACTTCTGAAACCTTCACGTATCTGGCTGAAGTCTTAGTGTATACTTCTGAAACCTTCACGTATCTGGCTTAAGTCTTAGTGTATACTTCTGAAACCTTCACGTATCTGGCTGAAGCCTTAGTGTATACTTCTGAAACCTTCACGTATCTGGCTGAAGGCTTAGTGTATACTTCTGAAACCTTCACGTATCTGGCTGAAGTCTTAGTGTATACTTCTGAAACCTTCACGTATCTGGCTGAAGTCTTAGTGTATACTTCTGAAACCTTCACGTATCTGGCTGAAGCCTTAGTGTATACTTCTGAAACCTTCACGTATCTGGCTGAAGTCTTAGTGTATACTTCTGAAACCTTCACGTATCTGGCTGAAGTCTTAGTGTATACTTCTGAAACCTTCACGTATCTGGCTGAAGTCTTAGTGTATACTTCTTGAAACCTTCACGTATCTGGCTGAAGTCTTAGTGTATACTTCTGAAACCTTCACGTATCTGGCTGAAGCCTTAGTGTATACTTCTGAAACCTTCACGTATCTGGCTGAAGTCTTAGTGTATACTTCTGAAACCTTCACGTATCTGGCTGAAGTCTTAGTGTATACTTCTGAAACCTTCACGTATCTGGCTGAAGTCTTAGTGTATACTTCTGAAACCTTCACGTAACTGGCTGAAGCCTTAGTGTATACTTCTGAAACCTTCACGTATCTGGCTGAAGTCTTAGTGTATACTTCTGAAACCTTCACGTATCTGGCTGAAGCCGTAGTGTATACTTCTGAAACCTTCACGTATCTGGCTGAAGGCTTAGTGTATACTTCTGTAACCTTCACGTATCTGGCTGAAGTCTCAGTGTATACTTCTGAAACCTTCACGTATCTGGCTGAAGCCTTAGTGTATACTTCTGAAACCTTCACGTATCTGGCTGAAGTCTCAGTGTATACTTCTGAAACCTTCACGTATCTGGCTGAAGTCTCAGTGTATACTTCTGAAACCTTCACGTATCTGGCTGAAGTCTTAGTGTATACTTCTGAAACCTTCACGTATCTGGCTGAAGTCTTAGTGTATACTTCTGAAACCTTCACGTATCTGGCTGAAGCCTTAGTGTCTACTTCTGAAACCTTCACGTACTTTGCTGAGACCTTCACATCCACGGAAGCGTCTGTCAAGAGGGCATACGAAGCTTGGTTTTCGGACTGAACCTTCACTTCGAATTTAGGTAGATCTGAAAAATACGTACGGGTTAAATTGGCAGGTAATATAATCCAGTTAATGTTATTTCCACAAAACATTGATTTTAATTATCACGTTCATAAATGCCATGCACTGATTTGTCCTGTACGTTCTACTCACAGAAGTTGGTCACTTTAATGTTGGCAGTTGCTACTTTTATCTGCAAACATAAAACCACAATTATACAAATTATATTCATCTTTATACCAGCTGATTTCATGGTGATCTATGAAAGCCTGATAAACATCAGCGCGTGATATTAAAGTTTTGAATTTAGTTAGAATATAGCTGCATCTGTTACCCCATCAGATGACACAATGGACCATATGCCGAATGATGGCTGATCAACAAGTCTAATGGTCTCAGAGAACACTCCTTTAGTTGGGGTTGCTTGGATCCATTCGTTGACCTTTTGTCCATTAGGATCCTACAAGATAAAACAGATAAAAAGACAAAGTGCATTATTTAACAACTAGTATAGTGATACATCAGGAAATCTGGAAACCTGTAGGTATATTTATATAGTGCATTATTACATTACTCTCGAGACAGGTAATGACCTCTGGTATTTTACACAATCACAAAAGGCTTCAGCACACCGTAATAACAAACTAAGTGTCATCAATCTGTTTGAAATATGTGCTTAGGGCTTGACACGTCGTGTTTTCATTCTCATGAAGAAACATCTGTGAAATAAAATATTAATCATAAATAATATATTTGGTCTAATATAAATATTTCCATTAGAATACGATAAGAGTTCATCATGTGGTGAAGGAGCAAGCATACACTCCAAACGTCGTGTTATTCACAATCAAGAAGTTGACATCCACGAATCTTGCTTTTCTTATGCATTCAACTTCTAAATGCCCTTCAAGATTTGTTCGACCACACAAGTACAGAAGAAAAACACTGAGTGAGAGAACAACAGCTTCGACACAATACGTCGTGAAATGAAGTATGATTTTGGGAATTATAATCAATTTCCTATTTAAGGTTGCCGAGCGAAAAAACGGTGCCATGCAATAAAAGGATAGAGCTAGTCATACACAATGTTAAGAAGCCTGGACGCGGGCAAGGTCGCAATGTCATAATGTGGTGCGACCGCCTTCGTGGTGTAGTGGTTAGAGCGTCCGCCCCGACCGCGTCATACCTAAAGACGTTAAAATATGGTACTTGTTGGTCCCTGCCTGGCGCTCGGCATTAATGGGTACAACAAGGACTGGTCGGCTCGGAGTTAGTATAATGTGGGGTATTCCTGCTTCACTGCGGCATGGTATCTCAGTGATCTAGCACTATAAAACCAGCTTAAGTCTGGGCTAGTACAAGCTGCCGCCCATACACATACACACGCATGCACGTCGTCATATGAGCGAAATATTCTCAAGCACGACGTAAAACCCAATTTCACCTCACCTCATAATGTGGTGCTTCGGGGTACTCAGGAATATGTCTTATTCCGTAGAGTTTTGGTGCCATAGTGAGGTCCAGTAATAGTTTGGTTCCGGTTCTCATCTATAGGAATTTGTCGCATCGTGTGGTGTCGCGGTTTGGCATATTGTGGTGCATTAGCGGACCGTCAACGTTGCAAAAGAAAGTTTAGAGGTCTTGTCACGTACAAGATATTAAACCGTGAAGATCCGAGTTAGAATTGATCTTCAGTAACCCATGTTTGTCGTAAGAGGCGACTAACGGGGTCGGGTGGTCAGGCCTGCTGACATGGTTGACACATGTCATGGTATACCAATTGTGTAGACCGATGCTCATGCTGTTGATCACTGGATTGTCTGAACCAGACTCGATTATTAACAGACCGCCGCCATAAAGCTGGATTATTGCTAACTGCGGCGTAAAAGTAAACTCGCTCACTCACTCACTCACTCACTACAAGATATTATGGTCCCATCTCCGTACAAACTGTAGGGGTCCGACATCGTTTGGTTCTGAGACATGCTGAAAGGTAGCTATAGGATAAGGTAAGGCAGTATAATTTACATAAAGACTCATCGTAAAGATTGTTGATTTCGTTTCCATGTGACTTACCCGAACAGTAATGTTCAGGCTCGATGTAGATGGCAGCAGGTATTCATTCAACGAAATTATCCGAAATCTCACTGAAAAGGCAAGTCACTCAAAACATTTACCGAAATGGCTTTCACAGAGCATTGCTGTCTTTGGACGACGCATTTTGTATTGATTTAGTTTAAACTTGTTTTTATGAATGTTTTGCTATTTGATTTTGAAATAGTAAATCTTCTTTTGACCATCAGCTTACAATAGTTGTTCTGTTATCAATAATAATACGATCACCATAATGCATTTTCATTGATGGAATAGAAGACTCCCATTGGTCCATACGCATAATTTTCACCACTGTCTGTTTTGACAAACCGCTCTGTTTCTCTTTCGTTGACGTGATGTATTTTGACGGGAAGACACCGAGTTATTCTGGTGTAGAGTTAAACATTGAATTACTTACCTGTCTGTCCCCCCTTGTAGATGAATTTGTCTGTCTGGATGAAGAAATACTCATCCTTTCTGAAGACCAAATGTTGTTCAACAGGTTCCATCTTAAAATCTTGGGTTGACGGTCGGCAGGTAAAGATGTGGTCAGCTGTTTGCGATATGCCTTTTGGTACCTGGTAATGGAATCGTCAAGGACTATTGTCAGTGAATGAATATTACTGCCTTGCTATATAGACGTAAATGGTAAATTCTTTTGATTTCCGTCGCTCGGGCTGTTGTTTAAACATTACAAAACATTTAAGGCATATGCACATACCTTTATCCGCATATGAGCCACTCCATCTGTGAAACATAATATTAATCATAAATTATATATTTAGTCTAAAATAAATATATCCATTAACATACGATAAGAGCTCATAAGATGATGATGGAGCAATCATACACTCCGAAACGTCGTGTTATTCACAACAAAGAAGCTGACATCCATAAATCTTGCTTTTCTTATCTAATGCGTTCCACTTCTAAATGCCCTTCAAAGATACGATAAGAGCTGTTACTTGACTGACACAGGCTCGTAATTAAAGTTTGTGGGCGATATGTTCTGTGGAAGTCTGCCGCTGTATGAGGTATGTTGTCAGTGACCATTCCGAAAAAGCGTCAAGGCTGGCTCTAGAAGAAAGTATGCTCACTTGATGGAACAGTTGTACTTGCAGAGCCCACAGTTCTGCCGTTACCATCCAGTATTGCTCCGAGGAGAGGTATGTCCCATCTCAAGGCCTTGCTATGGATCTCTACACTGAAGTTGGACCCGGGTTGGATGAAGGTGGGAACCATTAATATCAGGTTCCTGAAGGTGGATGGAAATAGAATAAATTATTATAAATGTGTAAACCTGATGTCCATTGTGTACCATTAACAGAATTCAAGGAGTGCCACGTTTCTTTTCTTTCAAAACAGAATTGCCAACTTGGTCCAGCGGGTACCTGGTAGGAATTGATCCATAGCAACCTATTGCTATGTTGATGATCCCAAGAGCAACTAGATGGTCAGGCTGACTGCGTGTCGACGAACACCGACTCCGTGTGTCGCTGTCAAATTGCTGGATCATTGTGGAGCGTGGCGTTAAACAACAAATGAACTACTTCTAAAAGTGACTCAAACTCACTATAATGTATAATACGTATATAATGTGTCTTAAAGCTGCTCCTACAAGGACAATGAGTTTGAATGTGATAATGTAAGCAATGCATCATCCAATAGGTGTTGCCACAGTAACACACGTGCCTACACGCTTCGAGTGTTTATGACAAGTATACATTTATTTACTATTTATGCTGATTGACCAACGGACCTAAGGCTGGATGAAACATAAATGCATAGTCGTGTCTGGATACATGTTATATTAAACGTCGACGCCAGGTAGTAATACTAGATTATCCACCTTTGGGCATAAAAAAGCAAAGTAGATGAGAGGGCTGGGACGAGTAACCCGGATACCCGGGACGGTTGGGTAATGAGTTGGACTCTGGCTTAAAAGGTTGTGTTGTTTTTGGAGATTCAGACATAATTTACAGTCGCCTCTTTTGAATATAATACATGGTTAAGACATTGAGAAACTCGAAATTTTAGCTGGAGAAAAAAATGCCATTTCTTACAAGTTTGATGTCAGGATTAATACAACGGGTATTGGGGTAGGGTAGGGTAGATCCCGGGACCCGTCCCAGCCCTAGAAGAGGTGCATGGACGCGAAGCTCAGGCATTGTCGCAACTGGGTACTATACCTGTGGTGTGTTTCCACAATGTTTGTGGATTCACAATCAAAACACTTTTCAAAATGTTTACTTTGTTTCGTAGAAAATAATCCCCAAAGACCAGATGGGTTCTTTCTTTTGTACGTCAGTGTATTAACTCACTGTACACATATAGTAAGGCCAAAAAATTTGTTCGACACTCACTGTTCTGAGGCAAAAGCCGCCCCAACGATGGAGAGCCATACCAACAGCAGCATAATGAATATTAAACTTGAAATTCTGAAATTGAAGAAACACTGGTTTACACATTACCATTGATTGTGTACACGGTAGCATTCGCCATGTGCAGCAATTGATTAAAGCAATACAAAGGGTTGCATTGTTTAATTCATTAAATGTATATAATGTCTATAAAAGATCACTGGTGTCTAAAGTCCTAAGTCAACCTAATTATAGAAATATTTTGAAATTCGACATCCTATCAAAGAGTAATATTGAGTATAAGTACACACAGAAATATGTCTTTAAATCTGTCTCCAGTAACCACTTAACAGAAGGGCTGGCAAACTTACCATAAATACTGCGTCGAATAAAGACTTGAAAACTCTGGTACCTTATATATTGCAACGTGTAAACATTTTTCTTAATGACGTGTCACGTATCTTATCATTTGAACTCAAGGACATGACTACTATATCAACAAGGCATACAGAGAAAACAGTCACATTTCTATGCTTGTTGTTAAGAAAGTTTATGAAAGTTTTCGGGCTCCCAGCATAAGGACTTGCTGAACCTTCATTTTAAGTACTCAGTCATGGAAGGTTTCATTTCTGTGTCATTCTCATCATGGCTTTATTTCTTTAAATGATATCACTTTTCGTAGAATTATATTCTGAGTGATTAATGACCACACTAAGTTTTTAAATGTTTTATCTGTGTATGTGCTAGAATCCTAATTTTAATCAGACCAACTCAATGACATGTAATAATTATTGTTTTTCATAATTTCGGTGAGTGTTTTAAAGAATTACATATTAAAGTTTGTTGAATCAAGTGATGATATCATTGTAAGTGTTGATTGCTCCAAGTACTATGAATGTGGTATGAAACGAGGTATTCCCAATATTCACTCGTTGCCCGTGGTCAGCTGTGGCGTATTTTCGATCACAAAAGACGTGTTTTGGATGTGCCAGGAAATACGGTATTCTCAACAATATTTACTTGTTAGCCTCAATTACATGAGACGAGATTTGGTAGAGTCATGGAAAACGGTATTCTTATCAATAGTCACTTGTTAGCCTCGGTCACATGAGACGTGTTTTGGAAGAGTCATGACAAATGGTATTCTTATCAATAGTCACTTGTTAGTCTCGGTCACATGAGACGTGTTTTGGAAGAGTCATGAAAAACGGTATTCTTATCAATAGTCACTTGTTAGCCTCGGTCACATGAGACGTGTTTTGGTAGAGTCATGACAAACGGTATTCTTATCAATAGTCACTTGTTAGTCTCGGTCACATGAGACGTGTTTTGGTAGAGTCATGGAAAACGGTATTCTTATCAATAGTCACTTGTTAGCCTCGGTCACATGAGACGTGTTTTGGTAGAGTCATGGAAAACGGTATTCTTATCAATAGTCACTTGTTAGTCTCGGTCACATGAGACGTGTTTTGGTAGAGTCATGACAAACGGTATACTCATGAGTAGTCACTCGTTAGCCTAGACCACACGAGACTTGTTATGGGTGTTTCATGAAATACGGTATTCCCAACAATAATTACTTGTTACAATCGATCACTTTAGGAGTGTTTTGCATGTGTCGTGAACGCTGATATTCTCATAAATAGTCACTGGTTTGGAAGTGTCATAAAATACGACATTCTCATCAATTGTCACATGTTAGCCTCGATCATGTGAGAAGTGTTTCAAAAGTGGATTTGTAGGATTGTTCGATAGACCCTTTTGACGTTATTGTTTCGCTATACGTGGTCATACAACTAATCTCTACATCTCCCCGATACATTACTAAACATGCCTTACTTCCAGATGAGTTGTTTACGAAAACATGAATCACCAAACAACCCAACCGTAATACCTGGTGCTCTAATTCCTCTCTTTACGACCTGCTTACAAACAAACAATGCATGGATGTGAAGGTTGTATACATTAAGCATGTCATTGAGATGATGTGTTCAGCCTACTGGAGGTAACTGTTGCCTAAATACTACATCTAGGCTATAAAGCCAAGCGTTATTGGTGATAGATATAATTACGCTGCAGTATTGGCGTCTTTACAACGTTTGTTGACGAGAAGGACATTGTGCTGGTAAACACGTGGAGACATATCACCTAGCATTTATTGCTGTTTAATGGGAAATGTCACAAGCCTGAGAAAAAAGTTTCAACGAATGTAATGACGGAGGGCTTTGAGATCATATCATGGTTATATTTAACCCATTTTTGTTGAGTGCATGTAGGGTTTACATGTCGCATGGCGGGAGTTTTGATGTGTGGCGTCCGGATATAAGTACCTACTGTATTTGGAAAACTGTGTGAATGGCAGACGCTGAGATTGTCGGTCCATTCACTCATGGAAATAAATAAGAGAACACATGAAAGTACGAGTGTTCCTTTATTCTTTTCCAGGTTTTTACAAGGTATGTATTGCACTGTAGGTGAAATTCTGGAAATAAATAAAGGAACACTTGTACATGGCAAGTGTTCTCTTATTTGTTTAAATGAGTATATAAGTTTAACTGAATACACCATTAAACCAAATAAAATCTGTCTCTGAGGATGGTTAAGAATAATGTTCAACAGAGACTCTACAGTGATCGCGATGGGGTGGGGTGTGGGGTGGTATAGCTGGTGTAGTTGTAGTGGTTGAAAAGCAGTTGTAAGCTGTTGTAGTAGCATTTACAGTGCGTAGTCGTAGTAGTCTTGGTCATCGCGGGCGGTGGGGTAGCCTAGTGGTTAAAGCGTCCGCTCGTCACGCCGAAGACCCGGGCTCGATTCTTCACGCGGGTACAATGTGTGAAACTCATTTCTGGTGTCCCTCGACGTGATTTTGCTGGAATATTGCTAAAAGCGGCGTAAAACCATACTCACTCGCTCACTCACTTGGTCGTCGCACTAGCAATAGTCGGTGTAATGACAGTGACACTAGCCGTATTCATCGTAGTAGCTATAGACGTGGTATGGCATTCGTAGTGTTTGTGGCAAGTTCATTGCCAGTAGACGTGGTAATACCTACGGAGCACTCGGTTGTGGTGGTGGTAGTGGCAACTGTAGTGGTTGCTGTTGTGATTGTGGCAATGTAAGGAGTAGTCGTGGTCGTTGCAGTAGTCATGCTAGTGACGTTGGTATTAGTCGAACTCGTGAAATATGTTGTTTACTAATATCAGTGAAGGTCGTGATAGAAGACGATGCAGTGTTATTAGTCGTGGACGTTGAATAGGTTGCTGCACTGGCAGTCGTTTAGTACAGGTCGCCGCAGTGTAGGCGATAGCGGTCGGTATGTACAAGTTAGTTCCTGCAATAGTACATGCAGAAGTGTTAGACGTGATACAACGAGTGACTTAAGTGCACTCTCCCTCTTTCACGAATTTAATCGGCTTACTTCAAAGCAAGATAACGTATGTAATTCTGGATCAGCTGCTGACTAATTTCACAGTGCAAAAGATCAAATGTCATTTAACACGCAGAGGTTCTAGAAAGATCAGTAAGTCAAGGCTTCCGTTCCCAGTTAGGAATATATGTCGTGGCTACCACGAGCCCCCAAAACTTATCTGCACTGTCTCGGTATAAATGCAACCTTGTGGACTTCTGGCTAATTTATTTTGCAATCTGTGCGACAGTCGTTTTATCGTCTGGGGCGCCGGTTGACGTTCACGTATGCATCGACCGAGGTCATCGCACATGGGGTTGAGAACGGGGAACGTGAAGGCCATGGAACACTGTAATGTTCTCAATCTGCAGATACAGAATAGCTGCATGTGTTGTGTGAAGCCTGGCATTATCTTGCTGAAACAACTCCCTCTGCTGGTCAGTGATCCTAAGATTCTGTACTGAATTTCCTGGAAGGCGCACACGGTTAGATCTCTTCGTGACACGCCCATCATCATCATATAATTCAACTTGGGCTACACAATTCTGGGCAAAACGTTCATTTTGACGTCGGTAGAAACGACGTCACAGTACTAAAGCAGAAAAGGTGAATCGTCACTGAACCAAGCCTGTCGCCACATTTGAAGATTCCGAAGATTCCGCGATTCTAGTACAAGGCCAATATAGAGTCTTTTGGCTCGATTGCGACTCGTTCGCGCTGACGATTTTCTCAAACGTACTCTACTTGCAGTGGCTGAGAAGTACTCGGATGTACCTCTCCTGTGCTGCAGTGGTCATCCGAGGTCTATCATGTCGTGGCGTTGAATTGTTTTGTTGGTATCAGTCACATGGTACTCTGGTGGCCTCTGAGGTGACAACAGCTTGTTGAGACTACCCAGCGGCATAACAATATTGTTTCATTTAGATAAAACTTGCTGATGACTATCTGAATGCAAGGTGGCGTTATATAGGGAATGTCCCTGCTTACAATCCTCAGAATTGCACGTGCATATTCGAACCAATGCCACTTTTGTACCCGTTGACATTCAGGAACGCACACATGTATTAAAAGTTTCGCTCCGCGTACACAAAAAAGTAACCTAAAACCATGTAACATTTATTTTTTATTTTTATCTAAAATTCCATTTATCAATATCACATATGCGTTTCTTTTTTTTCTTTTTTCTTTGTTTTGGGTATGGTGGGGAAGAGTACATTTGCAGCTCTTAGGTAAGTCTTATTAGTCTAACATCTATAATCCGGAACCTCGGTCACCTTGACGACAGCTGTTTACATAGACCTTTATCGGTGAATACCCCTAACCCTTGCTTCGATAAGTGGGCACGACGCGTAATTTAAATCAGTTTTATTCATCCTTTCGATAATCCGGAAACTCGACAATCCGCAAAGTTCCAAAAACAACGTTGTCGTCTGGATTAAGTGGTGCCATGGTAGCATTTTCTTGTTGGAATTGAATTTATTGAGTAGGGAGTGTAGCCTTGTGGTTCGAGCGTTCGCTCGTCACACCGAAGACCCGGGTTCGATTCCCCACATGGGTACAGTGTGTGAAACTCATTTCTGGTGTTCCCCGTTGTGATATTGCTGGAATATTGCTAAAAGCGGCATAAAACTTAAAACCACACTCACTATGTGAAAAGCGTTTTTATTTTGATACTCGTTCTCACATTATTTTTGTGACGCATTAATTTCATGACTTCCAGTAGTAACAGACAGATGGGATCTATGTGTGGTAAAGCTGGAGTAATGACTTCCAGTAGTAACAGACAGATGGGATCTATGTGTGGTAAAGCTGGAGTAATGACTTCCAGTAGTAACAGACAGATGGGATCTGTGTGTGACAAAGCTGGAGTAATGACTTCCAGTAGTAACAGACAGATGGGATCTATGTGTGACAAAGCTGGAGTAATGACTTCCAGTAGTAACAGACAGATGGGATCTGTGTGTGATAAAGCTGGAGTAATGACTTCCAGTAGTAACAGACAGATGGGATCTATGTGTGGTAAAGCTGGA